AAGAATTCAGTCTCTCAAGCCAGACACAGGAGTTGCCCATAAGTCTCCCTTTTCATCCAAAAGCAACCCATAGGCAAACTATGTTCATTTTCTGTGTAAGCCTCGTCTTTACCCTGTCCATGTTCTTTTCGTCTGCTTTACTTCCATGCTGTTCAAACCATTAGAACAAACTTAAGCTACCAGACAGATGAGCAGTTTCAGGGACACACAGATATTTGGTATTCCCAATACAGGTAGCAGCAGAAGGAAACTAGGAAAGAGTAAAAATAAACAAACAAACAAACAAATAAATAAATAAATAAATAAGAGGGAAACAGTGCCTGGATTAAGGTAGGAAGAAGCAGAGACCTATAGGCAACTCTCAAATGTGACAGTCTAATGACAAATAGCAAATATGTGAAGGGTGAATACCCAGAACATACATTAAGAATGTTTTTAAATGCCAACCGATGTAAAACACCCCCAACTGCATCACTGGAGAGGTGGAGGCAGGCTGATTTCTGGGGTTGTTGGGCTGCCAGCTTAATCCTACTTGCTGAATTCCAGGTCAGTAAGAAACACTGTCTCAAGCAACAAAATGGAAGGCTCCTGAGGGACAATGCCATGTCCTATGACCTCCTTTACAGCAGTGTAAGATAACACATTGTTAACAAAAGGCCCCGCAGAACCTGATCATCTGGACAATGATCAGTCTTCCATCGAAAATAACCACAGTATTTCTATTTGTAAGTCTTTGACAAGGTTCCCCTTAACGTAATATAAAAAGACTAATTGCTTGTGCTCTAACACATAAAACTGCAAACGAAGGGAGGGATGGAGGAGAAGACCAACACAGTGACTGAGTGCATTGCAGCTGCACTGGAGTGTTTCTACCCTCCCAACAGACAGAACTGCGGGTGTCTCTGTGCCTTTAATAGCACAGGCAAGGAAGGTAGCTGTTCTTATTGGCTTGGGTGGACATGGAGTTTCTGTACAGCCTGGTCCCACAGTTGTTCAGCCACAAATTAGTACACAGATGCTTATATTGATTATAAACTGCTAGGCCCACGGCTCAGGCTTCTTATTGGCTAGCTCTCTCGTAATTATTGAGCCATTTCTATTAAACTGTGTATTGCATGAGGTTGTGGCTCACCCATAATCCAGCACGTTACTCCTTCAGCATTCATGTACGCTACAAGAGTAGAACATCTGTTCACTCATGCTTTGGATGCTCAGTCTCAAAATGTCTTAACTTTGATGACCCCATATCAGTAGGGGCTATTATCATATCAAAGTGCTTCACATTCATAGCAGGATCCATTCTTAGCAATGAGTGGATGTAAATTCTTATTTCAAGTAGTTTGATAATTTCATTTTTATGGTTTCTTAAGAGACTTTGGTGATTGTTATATTATTATTACATATACTCATTTTTATTAAAAGTTTTATTTTTAAATCTAAATTCAAATTAGAAACAATGTTTCTTCACATGTCAATCTCACGTCCCTCTCCCTTTCCCTCCCCTCCTCCCACCCCCTCCCACCACCCACCCAATACCCCCTCCTTTCCCCAGGGAGGGTGAGTTCTTCCATGGGGGGTGTATATAGTCTGTCATTTCATCCAGGACAGGGCCTAGAACCTCCCCCAAGAGTCCAGGGTGAGAGTGTGTCTCTCATCGTAGGATGGGCACCCAATGTCCATTTGTATGCCAGGAATAAATACTGGTCAACTACTAAAGGCCCCATAGATTGCCTGGGCCTCCTCACTGACACCCCCATTCAGGCGGTCTTGATCAGTCCCATGCTGGATTCCCAGGCATCAGCCTGGGATTCAAGAGTTAACCCTTGTCAGGTCAGCTATTTCTGGGGGTTAAACCAGCCCAGTCTTAATCCCTTTGGTCATCAGTCCTCCCTCCCTGTTACTGGCTTTCTTGAGTTCAGCTCAGTGCTTAGCCTTGGGAATCTGCCTCTGCCTCCATCAGCCACTGAATGAAGGTTCTGTTTCCCCGACTCTCCGGCCATGGGATTGTAGGCTGGAACTCCCCAGATCTATGTCTAAAATCCATATATGAGAGAGTACATGCCATGTTTCTCTTTTTGTGACTGCGTTACCTCACTCAGGATGGTTTCTTCTACTCATACTCCTTTTTAAAAGATTATTTATTTGTATGTGTTTGTGTGTACTTGGGTGTGCCCACAGAGGTCAGAGGAGGTGTTGGATTCCCTGGAGCTAGAGTTGTGACCTGCATGACTACTGGAAACCAGCTTATAGTTTCCTGGGAGAGCAGCAAGCACTCTTAACTGCTGAGCCACCCCTTAAGCCCCTTGCTTGACATTTTAAGAGTGGTTTAAGGAAGACAGTAGACATGGTGTCACTTTTCTCATTTCTCTGGTGTCTAAATGAGCGACAACCAGGTGTGGTGGTGCATGCCTGTAACCCTAGCCCCCAAGACCTGAGCTAGTGGGATCACAGGCTTAGCGCAGCTGGTACTATACAGTGAGTCCACTCTCCTCACCCATAAAAGCAGTAAGTTGTCACAAACCGAACCAACATAATGTGTTCCTCTCAGACATCTGATGGTTAAGATGTCTGTGTGGCATAGTCAGGAATACCTGAAAATAGGGAGCGTTTGTCAAACTGTGAAGGACATTGGCACAGAAAAAAGTGACATCTTTGGGGAAGGGGAGTAAGGAGATTTTATTTGGGCAAGAATGGAAAGGACAAGAAAAGAATAATTTGTTAACTTGTTTTAAAATAATAAACAGTTGCAAGAGACATCAGATGTTTCCTTCCCCTTCTCTCCTTTTCTCCCTGCTCCTTAAAATGTTATTAGAAAGGAAGCAACCAGCTATGGATTAATAAAATTCTAGATACCTTAGGGTTAGGCAAATGAGCATTAGACTTAATTCTGTGACTCGAGAATTTGCAAAAAGTATAATAACCAGATTATTAATGGTGCAATGTAAAGACAAAACTCACAAGTACAGAACAAAGGAGAAGTGATCCCCCACCACCTATTTGACACTTGGTGTCCAACCAAGCACGAGCCAGAGCAAGGGCTCAAGACTGCCCCACTTCCTCCCTCTAAAGAGGGTCTGTCAATCAAAGACAAGGACTGCCTCTATCCTGTCAGATAACCCAAGGTTATGGGCAGAGAGACTACCCACTGCAACCAAGAAAAGACACATTTAACTCAAGGCACAGCAAGGAGATGGTGGAGTGGAGAACAGACTTGAGAATTATTTAGAGGTGACGGAAGACAATGCAAACACTTGCTTGGATAATTCAGTGGTTAGTGAATAGATGAGGTGTGTAGTTTAAAAGTAGACAGAGAAAGGGGCCTGTAATGAGTTTAAATTAGAAATGCCAATAATTAGCTAACCAAGAGCTATCCTGCTGGAGAGAACCAGTGGACAGCTCTACAGAGAGGGTATAAACACACTAATGTGGCCTGACACAGTCTCGTGTGTGCAGAAGGGAACCTACATCTGGAGAGTGATGAGGACCCAACTGATGATGAGGTGATGGAGATCATAGGAACCACAAGAAGCAGCCTGACAATTGGCACAAGTCTAGTGTTCTTAAGAAGGGATCGAACAAAGAAACAACAAAAACAGGTCTACAGAACAAAGAAAACTTGATGGACAGATATCAAATAAGATAGAGTGGTCAACAGTGTTGAAAGCTACACTTGCTGACCAAAACTTACCATAGCGTTTTTGGAGACAGGACAGATAGGAAACAGGATAAAGCAGGGCAGAGAGAGGATCTAAGCCTGTTTTGGGTGGAGGAATGGAAGAGATAGGTGGTCACTGGTGGCTACTTCGTTGCTTCTCTGACCATTCAAATCTTATCCCGATACCTGAATCTGACTCCTGATTTTATTGATAAAGAATGGTTAGCTAAATATTTCTTTCCCAGTTATTTCCAATATTTCATAAAGCCTTCTGGAAATCGTAATTAAGTACACCGCCAGCTTTATTTTGGGCAGGCATTATAACAACTGGGGGGCGGGAGGGCAGGGGGAGCTAACACTGGTTATTGAAGGTAGATCAGAAATTCTAATTTGCTGCTGATGACATCATAGAATTGTCTAGGATGTGATTGGCAGGCCACATATTGTTAGCCCAGTTATCTGGTTGTTACCATATCTGATTCAATTCTGCCAGCATGTGATCAAACTCAGATCAGAAGAAAGACAGCCAAAATGAAGCGACCATTTGCAGGGAACACTGCCTAAGTGTTTGTACACTTATTTAACTTTATTGCTTATTAGCATTATACCTATGACAGTGATGTATGTGATTTCATTTAAGCGACAAGAATCTTCCTTGAAATGATGCTCGTGGCTGGAAACATAATTTAAAAAATCCTTCAGTGGAGAATGGGAATGACAGGATCTGTAAGACCCTTCTTTCTAATATTCTAGAAAGCTGAGAGGGGCCTAGGGGCACAAGCCTGAGAATGGCGAAGTTGTAAAGAACACTTGTAAAGAATGTAAAGTTGTAAAGTTGTAAAGAATGCCTCTACTTAACTGACTCACGCTAACCACAATGTCAATAGACATTCTGGTCTGCAAGGCATCTTGAGACCAAAGAGTGTTGGTTTTATTGACAACCACAAAACATTAGCCAAGTTTTAGGAGCCAGGATTGTTATAGGCACCCAACCTGCCACCTTGGCTGGCCTTTGTGTAAACAGAAAGAAGAATGGGACTTTTATACTGACACCGACATTAACGTTATTAAGCCTCTGTCAGGTCCCTTCTTTGCTGTGTGTTATCTACACCCTCTGCAACTGGACAAACAAGACATTCAAAGAGAATCTAGCCAAGACGGTTGAGTAGTAAAGAGGAAAGAAGGACCTCTTGCTCTTGGGTCCAGGGCTCTCCAACACCTGGTCAGCATCTTAAGTTCAGAACTGGCCAGGCTGGTCGTGGGTGGCTTCCCTTTGTTGCCCCCACGACTCTGGGCGGGCACAGGGAGTAGAAAGTTCAGAAAAGGGTGTGATAGGGAAGCAGGGAGTGTACTTTCTTCCGGAACACCGGTGGTTCTAGTGCCCCAACCTGGGCTCGGGTGACTGCCAGAGCACCTGGAGACAACCCTAGAGCGGACATCTGGACCAGGGTGCAAGCCCCGGCCCTCTCCCCACACCCACATGTCCGTGCAGCCGCCGCCGCCGCCGCCGTCCACCGCCGCCCGTGACCCGGTGACCCCGGAGGCCTGTCGGGGCCCGGTGACCCCGGAGCCCCGGGCATCCGGACCCCCCTCACAGGCGCAGCCGCTATTAAGGCAGGAGGCTACCGGGGAGGAGGAAGGGGAGGAGACAGGCGGCCAGGCCGCCTGGGGCACCGGCACGGCGGAGCAGCGGCGGCGGGGCTGGGGGGAGGCCGACGAGGGCCCGGGCAAGGCCGGCGGCACCGAGGCCGAAGGCTCGGGCTCCCCGGAGGACGGTGCGGGCGAAGGGCAAGGGAGCTGGCAGCCGCTGGTCGGCGGGCTACTGGGCCGGCCGCCCCGGTGCTGCCCCTGCGCGGCGCCCCTTCCCCGCTCCGCCGCGCACTGTTGTCATGGAGGAACCAAGATGGCGGCTCTGGCCTACACCCTGGGCAAGCGGGAGATCAACCACTACTTCAGCGTGAGGAGCGCCAAGGTGCTGGCGCTGGTGGCCGCGCTGCTGCTCGCCGCGTGCCACCTCGCGTCCCGCCGCTACCGAGGTGAGCGGGCCCTCCCCCTGCCCGGGCCGGCCGGCCGGCCGGCCGGGGGAGGCGGCGCCGCGGCCCCGAGCGCGGGAGGCCGCCCCCCGCCGCCGCAGCACGCCCACGCGCCCGCGGCCCCCGCGGCGCCCCACGTGCCCCGACCGACCCCGGGCGGCCCTCAACCCCCAGCTGCCCGCCCTCGGGGCCTCCTCCTGCTCGAGCGGGGCCCTGGGGCCGGAGCAGGAGGTCCGACCAGAGACGCCCCCGGGGGCGGCCCGCGGCACCGCCTCCAGGACGCCGGGGTCGCACGCCATGCGCCCGAGGGGGCTGCCTGCTGCCCTGCGACATCAGGGCCCGCCCGACGGTTGGACAGCAGCTTGGGCCGCCCTGAGTGTCCTTGCCAAAGGGGCCACTGTGGCTAATGACGCCCCCGTGGCCCACCTCCCTCCCATGCAGGAGGTGGCCCCCAACCCTTCATACACCTTTGCAAGAGTTTGGGTTGCACACTTTTTTTTTTTTTTTTTTTTAACAAATAAAGGCACTGAGGCAAGGTTTTTTTTTTGTTTGTTTGCTTGTTTGTTTGTTTGAAGAAGTTAGGAGTTGACAGACATGAGCAAAGCAAGAAGGAAGCCTTTTGAAAGCAGGCCTTCAGTATGGGGTTAGGTACTGGTGGCAAAAAGAAACTATGACTTCGCCTTGGAAGGAATTATCCTTCAGTTATCAAGACATATTTGCTTGTCTTTTTGATTGACTACCCCCCCCCCCCCCTTTATGAAAAATGCCACCAGGACAAGACACTGACAGGAGGAGGGAAATTATAATGATAGGATCTTTTGTTTTTGACCCTTGGTACCACCAAAGTCATTATCTGGACAGCTGCTGGTGACTGAGATAATTAGTGTGATGGGTGAACATTTGCACTGGGCCCGTTTGCACTGAACAACCACTTTGGCCAAATCTGCAGTCACCTGTTTGTTGGATCTGAGCTATCTTCCCATTTTAGGCAATCAGAGGCCATTTTGGTCCAACTTGATGCTACCCTTGAACTTTCCAGATCCTGGCCTTTAGTACCATAACTGTACACTTTCTTATAGCTATATTAAGTTGAACTAAAAAGATAGATTCCTCATATTCTTGTGGCCACTCTCCTCCAGTCCTCTGCAGAGAGTCATAGCAGATGGCCTGGCAAAGCCTTGGTTCATCTATAAGCTGCCATCAAGAAAGCCTATATTTTTCATATGTAAAAATACAGTTGGCAGTGTTGGTGTGCTGACTTTTGATAACTTGGAGAACATGTTTATTTTAAAGAAGATAAATCATTGTATGCTAGTTTGGTATGATATGACCATAAGCTAACTCAATTTTGTGTTTGTGATGTCAGTAGAGCTAAAGTTTATAACTAATGTTGTTGTCCTAACTGTAAACATCTGGCCTGCCTACTTTGTGTGTGTGTGTGTGTGTGTGTGTGTGTGTGCTTGTTGTCTTTTGATAACTCGGAATACTAATTTTTAAATTTAGATTGAATATTGCATCTTATCGGGATCTGTCATCAGCAGGGAAAACAGAATGTCAGATGGGTGCTTATGAGTCAGTATAGCAGTCTCAGAGTGTACGCTTCCTCCAGAAGCGAGTCATCCTTCCCCAAAGGTGCTTCAGTGCTGTGAGTGTCAAGCAGTGCACCTGGCGTGTGTACTTGCCCAGACTGTGGAGCAAGAACTTGAACCAGAGTCTGTCTGGGAAAAAATAAACATCTTACGAGGAACATTTTAGCCATCTGTATGTCTTGGCACCTTTCAAGATAAAATTACACATAGAAATCACAACAAAGACCTCTCTGTCTTAGATGAATAGTGGACATACAGTACACATTAGGATCTCGGGTATGTGGGTATGAACATGCGCCAAGCAAGGTAGAATGAGTTTTAACACACACACATACACACACACACACACACACACACCCTTAGACCTCTTGCTTTGAAAATTACTTAAAGAATTACACATTTTGGAAAGTAAAGCTTCCCAATTCTGTGCATTAAATTGAGCACTTACTCTATGCAGACAGTGTTTAATGGTTTTACATACTTCATTTCGTCCTTACAGCCTCTATGAGGTACAGTATTTCATCTCCCCCTCTTTAACATTTCTGTAATCAAGAAGTGTCTTTAAAACTTTGATTGCATGTCAAAGTTTAATTGGTAACATTTTTTCCTGCTATGAAAAAATAATGATGTGTCTTAAATTCAGTGAATTAGAGAATTATTTACATTCTAAAGATGAAGCCAGAGAGGTTAAGTAAATTGCCTGAGAATACAGGGCTAGTCAATGGTTGAGCTATGAGTTAGGACTAGTTAGTATGCCTGATGCACTTATCTTATAGTGTGCCTTTCTTAGGGCTTGGTGTAAGGTATACGGAAGTTGAAGTTAATTTAAAATACTAATACTAGATAATTTAGAAGTACTAATTTACTACCAGTAAAGAGTTTTCCCCTTGTTTTTCTTTTTCTGACCAAGTGATAATTTTCTAGAAATTGCATGTATAGAACTCCAAAAGGCTTGCTTTTGATACCTAGTTACCCCCTCATTCTTCCTAAGCTCTAAGCTTACAGTGTAAAAACCACTTTTTGCTTTTGTTGCTTTTCTCTGCCTACAACATCCACTCTTCCCTTAAATGAAAATCCTCAGGGCTTTTTATCAATGCTTGACTGAAATGTTACCTTCACAGAAGTAGGATTGATGAATTCAATTTCTGCCAAAGCAACTTGTACATACTTACTGTGCTGTACTTGTAAGAAATGATGTTGTCCTCTTCCACACACACAATGTGAGCTTCCAAGTATATCTTAACTACGTTTAAATAGCCAGAGCCTAATACACAGTAGGAACTCCATAATTACCTATTGGGTGAGTAGATATGCAAAACTTATTTCCTCCTATTTTTCTATCTGCATTTGGTGCGGTTGTGCTTCGAAGTGAATTTTGTGCTCTTATCTCAATTTTAGGATGGAGATATTTTTGAATTATTGATATGTCATATAATGTTAGAATGAGTTTTAAAATACATTCTTAAAAATTTCAATTCATAGTACAATTATAGAGTGATTATAGATAAGATTTCTGGCCAGGGACTGGTATCTAAACCCTTAAGGAAAGTTTTAAAGTGGTAGAGTTAGTACACTTCCAATGTCTGAAGTTTTTTTTAATTGATTTCCTTTCCATCACCAAGCATATGAAATGTCAATGTTAAATATCCCCCTGCCTCTGCTCCCAAATGTTAGGATTACTATGCTTAGCTTTCTAAAGAAAAATTTAAGTGAAGTTTTCAGCAGAGAATAAGTTTGCTGAATTTAGGCCTGTTCTTCCATTGGACATACTGTTATATGCTGTGTGATCTGCTGCTTTCATGGTTGGTAGTAGGCAACACTGTTGCCAGCGGGATAGGTGTAAAGGCTTTGAGTGTCTAGTAGTATTTTGTTCAAAGGAAAAGGTAACTTGTAATTTATGAAGGATATGGGAGCTTTCTTTAGTTGTTACCTGTTTGTCTTCAGTTTCCTAGTTTTTGCTTGTTTATTTTGTTTGTGCTTACTTCCCTTTCTGTTGTTCAAAAAAGTCATGCATAGAAATTGGAGCATCTATAGCCAGTAACCAGAAAGATTATACCAAGTATAACAGAATAAGGAAGAAGACAGCCATTCATCTTAGATAATCTGAGTGTTGGAGCCAACTCTTTTGGAATTGCCTTTTAAAAGTTGTATTCCTACTTTGATTTCTCTGAGTACTTAGCAGTCCAAGTTGGTAACTATCAGACTCATGTTAGACAATTGAAAATAGCAAACAGAGATTCCTTTATTTTGTTTTTGATATAGTTGAACAGGGTTTGCATACTGGGTACATAATAAACCCTTTGGTAATTATCTTATTTTATCAACCGAGTATACATTTAGTGATTTGATCTGAAAGCATTTCGTTCCTAAGAAAAGAGAATATGCTTTAGAATATGGAGTTTTAGAGACTGTTGTAAATCATGTTAACTTATTTTTAATTAGATTATAGGAGTACTTATTCCTGTTATTTTTCTTTTGCTATATGTTAAGCAAAGTCATTACCAGCTAGCTTTCACTGGCATATGAAAGAAGTTTGTCCCCTAAGAGATCATTTGCCTCTAAAATATCATGTTTGTAAAGGTTGGTTACTTATCTCTTCAAGTCTCCTTTGCTATAGGATTTTCTAAAATGGGTTCAGCACATTAGACCTGTTGTTTTTCAGTAGATTACCTGAGGATCAAATGTGGGCAGTAGTACCAAGAATGAAAATAACTGCATGTCAAGCATTTCTGGTGAAGAAATGACTATTTTAAGCTATGGGCATGGCGCTTCATTCGCTACACATGGAGTCACTGAGGGTTGATCAAAAAGAATGTTTTTCTTTAGTCTTCTAAAAGGATAGGAATGCCCTATAGGTTTGATATCTTGGATTTGCAACTCACATTTCTTAAAAAAAAAGTTGCTACTAACTCACAAGTTGTTTTTAAATGTATATCTGAAAAGGTAGAAATGCAATAAATTTCAGAATTTTGTTCCCATTTTAAACACACTTTAATTTATAATAGTTTTGATGTGGTACCCTCACAAAAGAAAGCTTGCAGAAGTGCTGTTTTTAGGAAAATAATTTAATTATGTTTCTCTGTAGTCCTTCCTTTACTCATCTTTTGTTATTTGCATGCTTTAATTTAGTTTTTTGGAACTAGAATTAGATTTTAAAAATTGGAAAGAATTAAGAACTATTTATATTTAGACATTGCTTATTAGATCTTTGAAATTAAAAAAAATTGTTTAAGGTGCATTTATAACTGCAAAAATTTGAACTGCATTTGCTCTACAGTTTTCACCACCAAGACAGTGCAGTGCTGTGAATTTTCCCTTCCATTTTGTTTGGGACACTGAAGCAGCAGCGCTTCTGTGTTGACCCATTCTTCCTTCCAGTATGTATTATGGCAGTCCAGACAGATGAATAACTAGATTGAGAAAAAGGTGTGAGCATGAGATTGTAGTCCTGTGGTGAACTGCTCCTGGGCCGTGAAGGGAGCCCTGGCTTGGATCCAGCACCCAAGTGAACAGAAACAGCAACCAGCTCTGAGTTCCAGGAGTCTTACCCTGAATGCCTCAATGCTGGTCCGTTCTGCAGTCTTCCTTTGTTAGACCCCTTAGCCTGACCTAAAGGACTTAGGAACCACATTTATCTTGCTGTTAACTGTTAATAAGGGACTGGAGATTAACTTAAACTTCTGTTTTGGTCTAATCCGCAGTTAATGCAAATATCTCCCCCTTCATCCTTTTGGTTCTGTCTACTTGGCTAAGGTAAAATAAAATGGCTGAAGGATGTAGCGTGACTCTCCCATTTACACAGAGCCAGAGGGATTCCCTAGCCAGCAGCTCTAAAACTAGGTTTGGAACCAGGTTTCTAGATGTGCTAATGCATACATGTTGTAAAGGGAATCCTTTCCAAATCTTTCTCTTAACCCTTAGCTTTTATTTATCTCCGTCAGAAATAAGATTGATAAAATGCCCTAAGAGCGTGTTTCATATTGAAATGATAGCTGAGGAAAGAAAGAGGAAGTCGAAGGAACTGCCAAAACCATGGCCACAGTGTTTAGGGGTTAGATGTCCCTTACCGTCATCAGACAGGCTTCCACCTGCAGAGATGGAAGCGGTGCGGAGACCCACAGCAGACTTCATGCAGAGAGAGTTGAGATTGGCAGCCTCCATCTGGTCCCTCCCCTCAGAGATCAGGAACCCCTTGGAAGAGAGGAGGAAAGAGTCTAGGTGTAGGAGGGGGTGAAGGACACCGGGAGAACATGACGGCTGAATCAGCTAAGCCGGGCTCACGTGGTCTCACAGAGTGAAGCGGCAGGCATGGGGCCTGCGAGGGTCTACACCAGGTCCTCTGCCCATGCTGTGGTTGTGTAGCTTGATGTTCTTGTGGGGCTCCTAACAGCAGGAGCGGCGGTGTCTCTGACCCGTTTGCCTGCTCCTGGGACTCTTTTGCTCCAATTGGGTTGCCTCGTCCAGCCTCAGTGTGAGGGCTTTTGGGTTGTCTTAATGTATTTTGTTTTGTCCTATTTGGCTGTCATCTCTTGGAAGTTTGCCCTTTTCTGAAGGGGACAAGAAGGGGGGTGGGCCGGGGGAAGAGGGGGGGTGGAAGGGTGGGGAAACCGGATGTATTGTATGAGAGAAGAATTTCTTTTTCAGTAATAATAATAAGTCTCACAGGGTAGCGTGGAAAGGATGAGTGGCTCTTTTCCTCTAGCATGCTAACTGTTGATGTGGGCCGTGTCTGGAAGATACAAGGAAGTCTAGAAAAACCAATGTTTACAACACCATGGTGTTTTACTGTTATAGGCAATGATTCGTGTGAATACCTTCTCTCAAGTGGCAGATTTCTTGGAGAAAAAGTTTGGCAGCCTCACAGTTGTATGATGCATAAATACAAAATGAGGTAAAATGTGTTCGTTTTGCTTATTTCCCCTCCTAGCATAAGTCTTGATGTGTAGAGAGAGGCAGGGGTGAAGCAGGTAGAGCACCGTTCTGTGCAGGATGGGCTTGGGGGTGGACTTCCTGACTGCAGGCTGGGTTGGTCTGGCCTGGCCTGGAGCTGATTCCAAGTGCTGTTGCTGCCCCAAAGCTTTAGAGGAAGAGCTTTGGCCAAACAGCCTTATCTCAGGTAAGAGATAATGAAGGCAGAATGTGTAAGAACAGACGTGTTCTGTATCCTGGATCCCTGAGCCCTCAAGCCTGAGTAATGGGATAAAGGCCAGTATAATTAGGGCCCTTCTCTGACGTTAACGCATGGGGTCTTATTTTTGAGTTAGCTGGTAAAAAGGGCATAGGCCAGTAAGTTAAACACACCTGGCCACCTAATTCTAAAGCTGCGTGATTGACTGCCTAACAGTTTGTACTGATTTTCTGTCTTATTTGTGTTTTTTTGTTTTATATTAAGCCATGTTCTTTCAATTTCCTGTATGTTGACTTTATTTATTTTAATGTTTCTTTCTCGATTTCAGTGAAGCAAAGAATTGCCTTGTAGATAAACACATTGCATTTATCGGAGATTCCAGGATCCGTCAATTATTTTATTCTTTTGTAAAAATCATTAACCCCCAGTTTAAAGAAGAAGGAAATAAGGTAACCCTCCCACCCCACCCCGTCTGTCCCTTCCCCCATGCTGGTTCAGACACTAATCAAGAGGGTGTCTAAGGAAGGCCTGTGCTGACTGATGGTGGGAGATGGACCTTTTCGTTTGATTTTGGGAGAAGGGAAGCGAAGCAGGGAACATTTGCTGTGTTGGAGAGCATGGGAAGAGTCATGGCAGCTTAGTGTCTAGACTGTGTCCGCTTACACTTTCCATTCTGAAGAATCAGCTCTTATGGAGAATCTTACCTCAACCCTTGCTAGCTCCCTGACACATTTCTTTTCAGTTTTTGTTCTTGACATAAGTATATTGTAGTCTTTCAGTGTGTGTAATTTCTTTCTTGCTTTCCCCCATTGCTTACCACAGTCCACTATGTTACCATGCGATCCACTTAAGTGTGTTCTTAGTGGCAACATGTAATGGAGTGGCTGTGTGTAATTCCGCCATTTTTTTAAAGTTTTTTAATTTTCTTAATTTTTTTGAAATAAAAAAAGGGCATTTCCACTTTGTTGAGTAAAAAGTCTACGTTTTAAGAAATTGTAGTGTAGAATTTCTGCAATGCAAATGTGGAGTGGTGTTATTTATTGTTCTCTGCTCCACTGTTTTAGTGTATACCGGAGTCAGCAGTGGACGCAGGCATCTTGCCTTCGGCAGCCGTCCTGTCGTTGACATTGAGCTCTGAACAGAGACAGGAGTGTGTAAATCGCTGCCCCTCTGATGAGGGCCTTCTCATTTTCAAAATAGACCTTGCTGTGAGAACTAACTAGGATTAGTAACCCTCCATATGCTAATTAGTTCATTTTGGGGGCGTGACCTAGCTCGTTAAATCTAAATGTATTTGTCTTTCTAGCCTGTCTTCAAGCAGCATGTGATTTCAGGTGGGGCATGGCAGAGGGCAGAACGTGGAGGCTCAGAGCACAGAACTGTAGGAGTAGCTCATGAGTTTACAGTGGAAGTCTGTCTGTCCCATGAGCTTTCCTAGCGGGATGGAGCTGAGAAGTTGGGTGCTTCACAGCTAAGCAGCTGTTCACATAGTGGTGATGGTGGCGGATCCTGTATCGTTAGCAACTGCCCCTCCTAAGGAAGATGGAAAACAGTGGTACTATATGTCGTTTGGTGCTTGTTAACATACAGTTCACTAATATTGATACACAAAAGTTTGATTTCAAAGAGACAGTTTATTAATATTTGTAGGCTTAGAATTCCTTCTGGAAATTAGTGTAGTGACTTTGTCAATTGTTAGTTGAGAAAACTACAGTGACTTAGTCTACAACTTAATGTTACTAATATATATATTTGTTTTAATTCCTAGTGGAATATTTAAGTTTCCAGAATTTTTTTAAGGCTACACACCCATCCTGCAAATTATTAAGCAAGATACATCTTAACTTAAATACATTTTTAAAAGAAATAACAAAAGACTGTGTACCTTAGTTTTAAAGATACAGATAACTAAGAAACAACTCATTCCAACTGCTGATCAAACATTTGCCAGATTTTAAATTTTATAAATTCTTTATTCTCACACACCATGGAGGCAGATATTGCTTATTGTGCTTTTGTTGGTGTTGATAGAATTAAGAGATTTAAATTCTAAACATAGCAGAGAAATAATTAAGCAAAGAACACTCCCACAAGTCTGGTGCCAAGTTTGTATTTTGTACACATATAATACCAATACACAACATATACATAAATATATTGTTTATGTGTATATGTGAAAGTATGTCTGGGGGGTTATTTTTGTTTTTGTTGTTACTTGGGACAGGGTTTCTCTGTGTAATAACCCAGGCTGTCCTGGAACTCGCTGTGTAGACCAGACTGGTCTTGAACTCACAGAAATTTGCCTGCCTACCTCCAAGTGCTGGGATTAAAGATGTGCACCACCACTGCCGAGCTTAAAAACATGTTTTTACAAAGATTGTGCATACATAAAAGATTCACATGTAGAGAAAGTAGAAACCAAGCAAGATGGTAGAACTATTTTAAATAAAATAAATATAATAACCCTAAAATTTAAGCTAAGCATAGGTTGCCAGATTTCTTTTGAAAAGAACAGCTTTTAGGAGCGTGTACCTGAAATAAAGAACAAGAAGGTTTTAGTTACAAGAAGAGTAGTCAGCAAATGCCTGTTGAAGAAAAGTAAGCTATATTTAAACAAGACAAAATAAATATTAGGGCAAGAGCATTATCAACACAGAAAGCTGCTTTCTAATGACAAATGGTTAAATCACTAAGAAGATTTAAAATTGTGATGGTCATTAAGTTAGTCTTAAAATTAAATTTAGCGAAGATTAGTATAACAAGAAGTTGACAAATTATAATGGAAAACTTTTCCATTGCTCTTAGTGAAGGAAGGGCAAACAATGAAACTAGCAAATGTGGCTGACCTGTGGACATTCTTGACTTTGCAGCCTTGTAGCTTAACAATGTAGAGGGTCACGATGGAGAGTCTGTTGGATAAAACTTGGAATGTGTTTGTTTTTTCACTCACATATTACTCCATTAATAAGCATGTCTCAGTTTTGTCAGAAAATTGGTGTTATTCTGTCTCTTTTAGGCAATTTATGTTGGAACTTAACTTGATACAAGTTTTAGAAGTCTACAGTAAATTTCTTAATGGTGAATTGTTAGACACATCTTCATTAACATCAGGAGAAAAATCAATGATGTTCATTATTGCTGCTTCTCTTCAACATTTTATTAGAAGCTCTAGTTGAAAAAAAAAAAAGGTTTGGAGAGAAGGCAAACCAGGAATCCATATGGTACAATTGTCTGCTTGGACAAAGGAAAAGTAGCTGATGATAAGATGGATACATAAACATTATGTTCACAGCTCAAATAAAGGTGTTAAAATTCAGTTACAGTCTACATAGCAATAATATGGAGCTAAAAGTTATACCATATGAACTACCAAAAATAAAAAGGCCAACCAGTAAATGTGGTATGTCTATATGCAAAAGAACTGCACAATACCTTGCAGCTTAAAATGCTATAACTCACCGAGCATCATGGTGCATGCCTTTAATCCCAGCACTTGGGAGTCAGAAGCAGGCAGATCTATGTGAGTTTGAATCCAGCCTGGTCTACAGAGTGAGTTCCAGGACAGCCAAGACAGTTACACAGAGAAACCCTGTCTTAAAAAACAAAAACACAAAAAGTATGAGTCAGTGGTAGATATGTCCTTGGTGAAATGACTGAACATGTAAGGATGTCAGTTATAACCAGATTAACCTATAGGTTCAATATATTCCAGTAAATCCCTAACTGAATTTGTTATGGAATTGCTGGATTGATTTTACATTTCTTTTAAAGGAAGGCCAAACACACCACCAGTAGCTCCAGCAATCTTCAGAATTTGCATCTGCTCTTTAATATGAAGATTTGTCTTAACTGCAGTAATTAAAGATAATACTATAATGGAGTAGAGCTAAACAAAGAAACCAGATGATAGAATAGAGAGCTCTAAAATGACACATGCGCATCAAGAATAGCACATATGCACGCGCATGCGCACACACACACACACAAGCACACATGCACACACATCTGTTACTGAAGAATCCTGGATAAAGGAAGGCCTGTGTAATTAACTTTGCTGAATTACTTGCTAATATGCATGGGAAAACCTGAAATTAGATCCCTGCCTTGTACCATCAAATAAAATAATTTCTGGGTGAATTTAGAATGGTCAACACACTGAAAGTTTTGGAAAAAATATTAAGAGAATATATTTATTGTCTCAATGTTGGAGAAAACTCTATTTATAAAAAAAATGCTCACTGGGGAGATAGCAAGGTGATGAATTTATACGCTAATGTTTCTCCGCTGTCCTCTTCCTATGGCAGCATGAAAACATTCCCTTTCAAGACAAGACTGCATCAGTTAAAGTGGTAAGTTTGCTTTATTAATGAGTCAAATGTTGAAGCTATATTCAAAGGTAAATTCATTTGGAGATCAGCTAACACTGCATATTTTATCTGTAGTAGACAGATTTCAGTGTATTCTTTAGAGTACATGTGGGTAGCAATGTAGTAGAATAAATGTCGATAAATTTTTTTTGCTATTTGATAAATAATTTTAATTCGATTGCAAATTAATACATTGCTTAATAAATAATTTCATTATTTAATAAAATTGAAAATTTTGGTCTCTCAAATTTTTATCCAAGAAACAATTATCTCGTATAGTAATGTGAAGCCAGTGTGAGTTCAGGATTAATATCCCTTAATGAACATATGTAGGGTGGTGGGGAGGAACTGGAAGGCATAAGGGGAGGGGAAGAGTAATCAGGATATGTTATATAAGAAAAAAATACCTTTTCAATAAAGAGGACTACAGGAATCACAGGCCTCTGTGTCTCCCCTACTCTGAAAGTTGAGAGTCCGACCCACCCAGCTTTAGAGAGATGGCCAGAGACCCGACATCTTCATGCATTAATAAAGTTGTAGGAGACAATGTGTACCCAAAATTATTGAACCCACTTTTGGACAATATCTTTTGTCACACTGGCTTTGAAGATAAAGTGTATTTTTCAAAATGTAAGTATCAGGAAATTCTGGAAGCCAGGCTAGTGGCTTGTGGCTGGAATCCCAACCTTCCAGAAGGTGACTTTCAAAGATAGCCTGGGCTGAGAAGCCAGACCATGCCTGTGAAACACTGAAAGCTTGAAAGAAGGCCACACTTTTAGCTCTATTGTGTTTTATTATGAAATTTAATCTTAATAATAAATTAATAATATCACATACTTAAAAAAGAATATATGGACATTTTCTGAATTCCCAATCATGGTGAGAATTAACAGGATTCAGGGGAAAAAATATGTTGTTAGCGTAAAGAGGTTACAGGACATTCTAGAACCACTCACATGGAAAGAGCAGAACAGAGCGGGTATACAGGGGAAGGAACTGAAAGTCGTTTTCCTTCTGGACAAATGGTGCTTACATCAAGGCCTCAAGGATAAGGAGGATGAGCTAAGCCCGGGGGAAAGAACAGTGTGTGCGAAACCACCAGACACAGAGCACACAGGCGCCTTGCAGGGGTGAAGCAACCATGCCTGGAGAGCAAGGGTGAGCAGAACAGAAGGAAAGGCAGAGGGGCAGGTAGAGGCCAGTCTCTGTCTTCTCAGCAAGTTCAAGGGACCCCACGTTTCATTCTGAGGACAGCTATGGGGTTTGAGTAAGGATTTTTCTGCTCAGACGTGGGGAGTGGAGGAGATGAGGAGATACAAGAACTATCATGAGATTCTTGGCCAAATTGAAATGACAAATGAAGATTTCTTAGATAACCCGGTATTTTACTTTTAAGCACTCTGTAGGAGAATGTTAGTACTATTTTGAATGATGGAAATAAAAGTTTGTTTTATTTTATTTTGTTTTTTACTTTTTCTTTATTTCTAACATTTCTCCCAGGATTTTCTTTGGCATCCAGAAGTTAATGGTTCTATGAAACAGTGTATCAAGGTGTGGACTGAGGTCTGTATCTGAAAACAGGCTTTTGTGTGTAACCAAGCTTAACAAACCAAGGAGAAGCCATTGTTTTTCCTAAGCTGTGTGGATTGATCTTGTACTTGGCGGAAATGAGTAAATATTATTAAATATCCCTGCCCCATCATCACCAGGTAGATAATACTTAGACTCTTCTTGTATAAGATCCTCTGTTGCTGCTGTCACTTAGGTAATTCAAACTCAGGGGGTGACACACGTAAGAAAGAAGGTTCAAGAACATGGGACCAGAGGCTGGACATGTATTAGGCCCTGAGTTCAGTTTGTATGTGAGTGTGTATGTGTGTATGGGGTGACATTATTTGAGATTGAAACTGATTGATTTGGTACAAGGCTGAGCTATATAGTGAGCCCCCCATCTTGAAGATAAATACATGTAAACAATCTTACAGCATAACACATATTCTCTTGATACTTTTATGGATTTTTATTCATAACCAGGTACTAAAGAGGAATTTCTAGGTTTTACTTTTATAGACTTTCTTTCCTTGTATAATTGTTTTTTTGACCTAATCGATAGGACTAGTATGCTATAGGATATAATCTGAAGCGTTAAATTGGAACAGCAAGTATGTTGTTGATTTCACAGAATCCCTAGGCCCTTGTAAGTCTACCTTACAGTCTCTACAGTAATTTCCACAAAGCTTTACATCAATCAGGCTTTGGATGAATTTCTTTTCTCAGAGGCATTTATATTTGGCATGAATAGACCAATGTTCAGCATTGCTGACCTGGTTTTTCATAATAACATTTTTGTACCAGTTTATCCCCCTCGTGTTTATAATAAATGCTTAAAACTAACCCACATCATGGAGCACATAAGCATTTTTAGGGTTATGTGAGAACCTAGCCACCATTTATAATTCATTTGTTTGAGATATGTGTTCAAGTGGATGAACCACAGCCAAGAACAGTTATAGGTACTTGTATTAGTCCAGGGGACCAACCGGTTCAGGGGCCAGCAGTAGTTTTAGTGTGTCTTGATCTCAGTACATAGTACTTCTTTATTGTGTTTGGTTTTAGTTGTTTTCCTTTGGGGAGATAAATAATACCTAGAGTGAGTAGATACTAGAAGAATGATAGTCTAAACTACATTAACTTTATTTACCTAGCCTTTAGAAACAAACTACTTCTAAATACTTTGGAGTGGATTTCCTAAAAGTAAGCACATTGGATTGAATGTATTCCGTATTTTGAGGGTAGTAGACATCTCCTGAAACTGGTAAATAGAAGAATGTTGAGGTGTAGTAGAGGAAGAATAGGAAAGTGGGATAAACTGAAGAAACTCGCTGTTTAAATTGGATTTCTTAGGTGAGTGAAAAACCAAGCTGAAGCTACTTGGGTAAATTTTGGAAGTTTTGGTGTGGATTACGGTGTCACTAGAAGGTATTTGCATAGAAGAAATTGAATAAGTAGAGAGCTTAAAGATTAGATAGGAAAGTTTGTGGGGAATTGAATTATCTAAAGTGGAAGAAAAGCAAGAGAGAAGGGGCTAGACTGTCGCCCTGTAAGCGGAAGGAGTCTTCAAAGATGGATAGGCTGTGGTGTGACTTTAACTAGACAAGATGGATGAAGCTGTGGCCTCAGCAATTCAGAATTTGTTAGTGGGCACTAAACCAGGTGAAATGGATGGAGAATGTCCAAACTGAAAACCTGAGGTTTAAACAAGAGGAAGACAAACTGGCGTGCAGAAGAAATAAAATGCTTCCAAGTGAGCGTTTGCTTTTAAGTAGAGGAGGTTGGGAGAAGTGAGGCGGGCCGGAAGAATGGTTTTGGAGAATAAAGATGACTTGACGCTCTTAGGTTGAAGGAAGAAAGGTGAAGCAGGGCAGGAATGATATGAGCTTTGAAGGAGATGACTCAGAGCCGCAGAAGAGAGAAGTGAAGTCAATCTAGAAGAATATGGGGCTAGGACTGAGAGATAGGAGTCCATGTCTTGACTCGCTCCTTAGCGAAAGATAGGCTAGGCGAATACGGAGGCAGAGCTGGAGGCATGGAAGTGAGGGGCAGCGTGCACACGCTGCTGTCTCGGTTCTCCTTTTGGAATGAAGTCGGAGGACCAAACTATGCTGAGGAAGGCAAGGGGGTGTGCTGAAGGAATGCCGACGGGATCGCTGCTCTGAAGAATGAGAAAGGGAGCTACCTAGAGATGAGGAAGAAGAAAAGAATTGCTTTAAGAAGTATGGTGCTGTAAAATGAAGTGTGTTAGATATGGGCATGGCTATCTGAAGGGAAATGGACTGCTCTCAACTTGTTAACTTTATGATGAGAAATAGCGATTGTCAATTAGGTACTACATGAGGGTTCTGTTAATGCAGTGTTTATTTTCATTTCTTCTCACATTATTATAATGTCAGATCAGGATGGTAGAAGATATATGGAACTCAAAACTTAGGAGAATGGCACCTTGACTGTTCCTGCCAGACTGAGAAATATTCTAGTATTTTTTTTCAAACGGATTCTTACTGAACAAGTTGAAATTCATCCCTGCCTACCATACAAGAATATATTTAAAAATGAAACATTTTAAGAGAAGACACTAAAAACTCAGTACTATGTAAATGTTACAAATTCAGTTGTACTAATAATATGACTTAACTATGTTACAAATAGTGTACCTTGCAGCTAGTGAATGTTTCTAGCTTTTTCCACATGTGGTCTTTAATAATTATCAGTATATTTTCTTAAATACATGTTAGATTTAGCCTTCCCAACAGATTGCATTTGCTGAGGGCATTGACCCTGTATTTTGTTTAACTCATACTATATACCCTGTAGGCTTCTATGAATACCTCCTAATTGACTGACACAATGCACTAGAGGTTTACTCTAAGTAATTTACTCAGAATTCAGAATAATAGTAGGTCATGTTCAATGTCAATAGTGTGTGTGTGTGTGTGTGTGTGTGTAAGAACACTGTAAAGAATTAATTGCATAAGCATCATTCCATGCAGTGTAGCCATGTAAGCTTTTAGCAGTTAGATATCTGTCATATAGTGAAAATCATCCAGTAAGGGATTCTGTAAACTTTAAGTGCATTTAAAGGGATAAGAATGTATAAGGAAGAACATAACCGGTATTGCTTGTGTTCAGCCCATGGCCTGGACGTAGCGTGGCTATAAAGCTTTTCTTCCTGTAGGATTCAGGTGCGAAGCCCCATGTGATTGTAGCAGGCGCAGCCACAGTAAGTTCTTGTCTGCATTCTAGCAAGTCATCTTTGTTTCACCCTTATGGACATGCGAAGAAAAAGCTAATTCATATTAAATAGAATTCTTGATTGTATTTATATTTTAATTTCCATTTCGATTATAATTAACCAGACTGATAAATTTTAATAAAAAGGTCTGAATGAACTGAGTAAATTTAATGTTAAATCTCAGTATTATTTTATAGCTAGAATTATATTGAGTGTTATACATTCAAAGTCTATTATATAGTGGCTTTTCATAATTGTGAGCATGGATTTCATTAAATAATTTGACTGAATTTATTCCGGTGTTAACTAAAATGAGAATTGTGTTTAAAATCACCTTGTCGCAATAGGTACATTATATACTCTGAGCTAAGTGCTGAATTAATGCTTAACTTTCACTGCTTCTTAGTGGTCCATCAAGATTCACAATGGTAGCGATGAGGCGCTGTCTCAATATAAAATGAACATCACCTCCATAGCACCGCTCTTAGAAAAATTGGCAAAGACTAGTGATGTTTATTGGGTCCTACAAGGTAAGGAATGAATAATGAAAAAAATGTCATTTTTTATATATGTCTTCTGATATAGGTTTTATTATATCCTGTTTCAAGAGACAAAATTACTACTTTATGAGAATAAATTTTGAAATAATGTTTGCAAGATTAGAATAAATTAGAGGAGTTTGCTTTCTCTTTTAAATTCAAGGAATAAACTAATAAATACAGAAAACAAAATAATTTTAAAAATACCCTCCAAGCAATTGAGTGGCTGCAAAAATGCAGTGAGGAGATTAACCCTGAAGGCAAATGAGGCTTACCTCCAACTGTTTTACTCTTTGCAGAGTATATTTACTGCTCAGGAAACGCAGAGAAAATATTAACCACTCTTTGTATAATACTGTAATCATTAGAAGTAAGTATGCTTGGAAACCACGTACTATGTTGAAATTGACACCATCTACTTTATACTGGGTATGAAAGTCACATTAAGTCAGCTCATTTCAGGAATTTATTGAAGGTCCATTATTTAATGTTCCACACAATATGAAATGCCTTGGATATTTTAGCAACTCAATATGTTTGTCAAAAACTCTTATGATTGTTTCCAAGTTGGAAGGAATAAGAAAGGGTGGAGTCTGTTGCATCATTTCTCTTTGACCCACAGACTCATGATCAGCATTTCTCTTAGGAAAGTGAGAAAGAATTAACATGTAATGGTTGATGAAAATGGACAGACCTGGGTCCTGAGTATTACTTCCAGATTGTCTGAACAGACTTCCCAGAATTGCATTGGTTTTTGCTCCTTATTAGACATTCTTGCATTGTCCAGTTGTAATTCCTTATAATCTGCATCAAGAATTTTAAGCTCCTAGGGCATGCTGAGACATGAAAATGTTTCCCCTCAACAGTGTACGTGGAAAAATGATAAAAGTTCTTTAAATTGAGCTAGATATTGGCTCAGAAGTTGAATGTAAGATAGGAAATCACTGCCAAGTTCAGGCAGCTTTATATAGAGTGATTTACTAAGTACCTGGTACCACCTGGAGTTTAAGAACACACTATGAAATGTGGATTAACTGACATGTGTGGTCATGCTTTCTCCATTAATAAGCTTTGAAATGTGTTGTTTTGAATGTATTCCCAATGTGCAGACCCAGTTTATGAAGATCTCTTGAGTGAAAATAGGAAAATGATCACTAATGAGAAGATAGATGCCTACAACGAGGCTGCAGTCAGCATTCTGAACAGCAGCACCAGAAACTCCAAGTCCAATGTCAAGTTGTTCAGTGTTTCCAAACTAATTGCTCAAGAAACCATCATGGAGTCTTTGGATGGCTTACACCTTCCCGAATCAAGCAGAGAAACCGTAAGAGTGCTTAGATGTCAGTAGGAGGAGACTGAATTCAATTGTTAGCAGCCGTGAGTCACAGAACAGGATTGCAGTCCTAATTACTTGTTCTTTCTAAATGTACATGTAGAAATAATTTTGATTTCTGTCACCTAAATGAAGCTAGAATGAGTAAGAAGTTTCTTGTACTTCAAAACTTTCGAGAAGCAGCAGCTGTGGGAGGGAAAATGAAACTTCACCTAAAGTGCCAGTCACAGCTAAGAACCCCTAAGTTCTTAGCACAGCTAAAAGATCGCTTTATGTTCTTCCTTCTTTATGCGAGACTCAACTCCAGTGGAGAGCACACATTTCGAGATAAAAAGTCATTTTTGTAACCTTATGGTTCTTCTACTGCATTATTCAAGGCACAGATTAGGTTGACTGATGCAAAAACTATGCTAAGAGAGAAAGAACTTTCCAAGTTCATACCTTACACACTAGAACAAAATATTTTATGGGGATTTTTAAAAAAAGATGTCTTTAATTGAAATAGAATTACATCAGTTTCCCTTTTCCCTTTCTTTTCTGTGCCCCTCACAGAAACCCACCTTCAGCCCCTCCAATACTCCCCCACTTTAAAGTCAATATCTTCTTTTTCTTTTATTATAGTTGCTACATATATATGTATATATACATGTATGTATGTATGTGCACAAATATATAAACACAACCTGCTAAATCTGTTTTGTTGTTTGTATGTATATATGGTTTCAGGACCAGCAACCAGTAAGAGAGCTCATCCTTGAAACTTAATTGTCCTTCTGCCAGCAATCATTAATTGTCTATAGTTCTTTGTCCAGGAATGGGACCTCATAGCATTTTCCCCTTCCATGTTAATATGTCCTTGATTTGTCCCACCCCTGTTTATACAGCCTTTTCTAGAGAAGACTGTTTCACAGTAGATTTCCCAGTATTCTGTTTCTTGCACTCTTTCTGCTCCTCCTTCCATAGTGTTCCCAGAGCCATAGATGTAGGGGCCGTGTCCATGGGAGCTGTATTCCCCAACAATCCATTCATCTCTGCATTGTGTTCAATTGTGGATTTCTGTGATGGTTTCCATTTGCTGCAAGAGAGGCTTCTTTGATGAGAGGTGGTAGCCATTCTTATCTGTGGGTATAAGGATAAGATTTAGAATGTAGTGAGGAATCTTGCTGCTCTAGCTATGTAGTGATGGATTCTTTTTTAAGGCCCATGATCTCACTACCTTTGGGAAGCTTGACTAGGTTTCAGTACCAGGCATGATTTCCCTTCTGTTGAGAGGGTTTAAGTCCAATGAAACAGGTGGTTAGCACCAACATGTAAGTGCTGCTTACTGCACCTTTAGAGACATCTTGGCATGCTAGTCACAGTCACGGTTCATAGGTGTTGCAGATGGGTAGAACTTTTCGGTTGCTTCTTGCTCTTGGCAGCTTGCATAGTGTTTTCTGGTACCATAGAGGCTAGACTGCAGGAAAGAGGCTTGAGCATCTGAGTCCTGTGCCCTAAGTATGTGTGTGTGTGTGTGTGTGTGTGTACAGAAGAATTAATCACAAAGGTGTCTTGTCATACTCTTACAATTTAAAAGTTTGGACATTGAATGATTATTTTATTGTAGCAAGATACAGCAAGGAATTCTATAAAGTTAAATGTGTTTGTAAGGAAGGAAAAAAGTAGCTCATGTTACTTGTCTTAGTCCATGAACTGGATGTAGTGTGGCTATAGTCATTTTTTCCCATTAGGATTAGGATACAAAGCCAATTTTTATCAGCTGTCCAAAGGGCTCATGTAAAATACTGTGGCTCCCTTCCTCTCCTGCAGGAAAATGTCTGTGTTTGTATAACCCCATTTCTTTAGATGTGTAATAGACTTTGAAGACTCTAGGGGATAGTTAAGGACCTTGTGAGAGAATCTGTAGACCAGGATTCCTGAGAATACCAGTTAGAGAACTTCCTCGATCATAGGACTAAATGGATAGGATTTTCTAAACATTTGAAAGCTTACACTCAAGTGATACCCAAATTGTGGCGTTCATATATCTAGAGTTTGACCAAACCTTTGACTAGACAGATTCTTGGCAGCTTGTCTCAATGTTTATTATAATAAAAATATGTTAAATATTCCACATTTTCTGTGTCAAGAAATATCTTAAAATTAAACTTACAAATTATCTCTAAGATGTGATAAATAAAGCCATATTATCAATATTGTTAGTTAAGAATTATTATGTTTTCAGTGGTAGTTTTATTGCATTCTTTTGTCATGTAAACACTGGGACTCTATCTTAACTATTCTCGTTTCAGAAGTCTGCTAATTCAAATTCTTTGATCTTTGACGTCTGTCAGTATTTTTTGTTTGTTTGTTTTGTTTTGCTAATCTATTAGCAGGCATAGACTCCATGAGCTTTTTGCTATTTTTTCATTGTTTGTTGTTGTTGTTTTCTAAAAGAAGAGATCCATATTATAAGTACATTCCAAAGTACATTCTAAGTAGTAAGGAGGTATTGGCTTCCAATGTGTAATGGGACATGTTCTAAAACAAACTTCTTATTGTGACCATAACCAGAGAGGTTTGAGACACCCAAGCTAGCTCCTACAGATTTCAGGAATACCATCACTTGAAAGTGTGCCCAGGAAGTTGAGTACAAAAAGCACAAGAGATTTTGGTTTCGACATCAAAATCTCAACAATATTCACAGGAGAAAATAGAATGTGAAATGCATCAGTGACAAGCTAATAACCAAATGACTCGATCTGTTCACAGAGCGCAATGATTCTCATGAACGTGTATTGTAATAAAGTTTTGAAGCCTGTGGATGGTTCCTGTTGTCAGCCTCGGCCTCCTCTCACTCTCATACAGAAGCTAGCTGCTTGCTTCTTCTCCTTATCCATGGTGGGGTATTTAATTTTCTATGTGATTCATCGCAATGCTCACCGGAAGAATAAACCATGTACTGATTTGGAAAGTGGTGAGGAAAAGAAGAATATTCTCAATACTCCTGTGTCTTCATTAGAAATACTTTTACAGTCTTTCTGCAAACTGGGCCTGATTATGGCTTATTTCTATATGTGTGACCGTGCAAACCTGTTTATGAAGGAAAACAAATTTTATACGCACTCATCATTCTTTATTCCAATTATCTACATCTTGGTGTTGGGAGTATTTTACAATGAAAATACAAAAGAGGTAAGAATCATTTGCATTAGCCCATGTTATCCTGCTGTCTGATTATAAAATCTACATTAAAGAACTGTTGTCACTTACTATGACAGAATTTACAAACATGCCCATAGATGAGGAAGAAGGGTTCTGTAGTTATACTTAGTAGACTCTTAACCACTCCTTTTAAATACAGCTAAAACATTCAAAAGGTTAATGGATGGAAGAACACCCTGTGAAAAGATGTCATGGTTTATTCTATTTTGCTTGCTTGAGGCTAGAGAAAGTACAATGACTTCTTCAAGTACTAGATGCATTCTTCATATGTTCTGTCCAAATATAATTGCTAGCCAATGGATTTTAAAGCAGACTTTGGTTCCTCCATGCAGACTAAAGTATTAAATAGAGAACAAACAGATGAATGGAAAGGCTGGATGCAGCTTGTGATTTTGATTTACCACATCTCGGGAGCAAGTACAGTAAGTACTTTGGATCTACATTCAGAGCATATAGGAAGTAATGTTGCCTAAGAGCCCCTTCTCATTTCCTGCCCAGCTGCTCAGCCTTCTCGTGAGTCTCACAACTCTTTGGAAAATCTATCATTTTAAAAGCAAAATCAGTTTTCTTTGGAAAAGTTGAAGCAATAATTGATTTTTTGTATTTATTTGTCCTTCCTACTGTAGAAATAGCCAGTATCTTACATCATCTTGTTGAATCGCTAATTTAAAGTTATCAGGAAGCTTTGTAATGGGCAAAGGATTTAGAATAGGTTAGTTACTATCCAAAGGAATCAAATTTATATTCCATCCTTCACTGTGTTTTAAGAAGTTGGATGAACTAGTTTTGTGTTTTTAACATTTATTTTTAATCATATCTAGTCAGGTGTCTGCATTTGGGTATGTGCACTTGAATACAAGCACCCGTGGAAACCAGAGGATTGGATCCCCAGGAGCTAAAGTTGCAGACAGTTGTGAGCTGCCTGATGTGGATACTAGGAACCAAACTCAGGTCCTCTGCAAGAATAGCAAGGGCTCTTAGTCACTGAGCCAGCTCTCCTGGTCCTGCTTAGAACATTTTGCCTTCATTTTTTCCTTTTTCCCGGGAATTTTATCGTGTAGACTACCTCGGATATGGAAGAGTTAAGAAAAACTATAGTCCTTTTGTGTTTTAACATCCCAACTGTAGTTGAGTGAAAACAAACCTTCGTGGGTAAGCCTGACAGCGACTTGTCATATAGGCTTTCATAGTGAAGAGTCAAACTCACATGAAAAATGTTTTAAAATTTCAAGTTAGGAACTCATTCATAATTTGTGAAGTACCAAGCTGTCTTTGCTTACACAAAACTCATCTATTAATATTTAGTATTTGAATTGATGATAAATTCAGATAAGAGGAGTGTACTCAGAAGTATTTTGAACATTCCATAGCAGCAATTACTAATGTAAATATTATTACTGGATTTTTTTATAAAAACCATAGTCTTCCTTATCTTATATTTTTGGGAGTTGTTGAACTTCTGGGTTTTACGGATGCTCTGTTTGAAGACACAGAGCAAAGGAATGACTTGCATGCCTGTGGGGAATTCTGTACTTGTGCTTGCTGTATGCTTGCAGCAGTGGCGTGGTGGGATTCCTGTGGTCTCTGCAGCTGTAAGTTTGAGCTACAGCTAGTGAAGCCATGGCAGTGTAAGAAATCCAGTCAGGGGAGATGGCTTAGGACCCACGGCACAAATCCATACAACTCTGCAGGAAATAAAGAGAGGTGAATGGTGGAACCTTGAAGTACCTCTGGCATATGAATAAGGGCTCAGTTAATAAGGGGAGGAGGGACTTGTTTTAAGAACATGCCGTTTAGAGACATAATTAATTGCTGACATATTAAATGGTGATACTTCTATCTAAGAAATTAGGTAGGAAAAATTAATGGCAGATTAAGTTCCTCAATTCAGTGATTTCAGAGAGGAATTAGATAGTAAAAAGATGAAGGCAATTTGGCATTCTAGTGTAATCATTTAGCAAGCCAACATTTAATACATCTTCTTAGACTGCCTACCAATACATTCTCATTTACAATTAAAAAAATCACAACTCGGTTCTGGAAGGACATGCTTTTCATTAGCAGATCATTTGTAATGATTAATTGTGTGTCCCTGTTCTGTTATACACATTTTGTTGTTAAAAATTACCTGTATCTTCCCTGGGAAAGCATTATCCATGCAGGTTACAAGATATTTGGGGGTTCCGTTCTTAGGTAGTGGACAGATTAACCTTATTGAAAACTCTAACAGCCATGGTGTTTTTATTGTCCAATCATAATATTTTAAAGCAAATATGCCAAGGAATAGTTGCTTCATAGTTTTCATGCTAGAAAGGAAAGTATGTTAAAATCCCAGAGAATTATTAAGATAATCTAGGCAGGTGGTATAAACATTCTTTTAGCATGAGGCTTATATCAAATGTGTTTGAAATGCTGAGCAGTACTAGTTTGGCATCTGTACTAGCCAGTGCTTTTATGCTTCCTTATGTTTTTCCCTTTTTTGAGACTTTCATGAAAGATAGTGAGGTAAATATTTAGGTCTAGAAAGTCAGCCTATCTCTTTGAAGGAATTGAACTTGCAAATATAATTTCAACTCTAAAGTTTAGTTGTAATCTTGATATGCGAGAGATAGAAGGGAAATATGGATTAAAGAGTACTGAGGTAGTATGACAGTCAAATGCATGTGTGACTTATTACTTGCAGAGTCAGGGATCAGATCCATAGCTTTATACATTCTAAGTCAGGACTCCACCACTAAGCTACTCCTCCAGCCCTTGGTTCTTTGAAACGGGCTCTCCCTGACCAACCAAGCTTGGTCTAGAGCTCTCTATACAAATAGGCTAGCCCCAAATTCTTTATCCTCCAGACTCTACTTCTGAAATTACAGACATGAACCACAGTGCCCAGCAGAAAAAAATTTCCAGGGAAACTATGGATTATGTAGTAGAAACTATTATATTTATATTAAATTTCTTGGCCATTATAGTGATAATGTGGCCATGTAAGGAGCTCCCTCCCTTCTTACAAGATACATGGTAGAAAATTAGGCATACTCTTATTCTACAAGTTTTCAGCATAATTTATTTGTGTACATTGTATTGGTCTTGCAGCTTTTCTATTGGTTTGAAATATTACACAGTAAAAAGTTAGGAGAAATATTATAGAAGATTTATGACAGGCCAACACTGGTAGGAACTTGGAAAATTCCTGTAATAGAATTGTATTGCTTAATATAAATAAACAAGCCCAACTTTGTAATCCCAGCTTTAGTCTTGAAGGGACTTGAAAGTTTGCTTTCTAGAGAATGGTTAAAGAATAGTTAACATGGATTTGACATCCTTTTCCCAGTGCTTCCAGAGCTATCACAGGAAGAGAGATGTGCCTCGAGTATGTGGCTCTGTAGTCAGGCTCCACAGTGTTAACCAAGTAGCCACTGACATTAGTTAGGCAGAGCCGAAATGTGCTGTTCAGGGGAAAGCTGATTAAGTATGACTAGTTCTAATAAATTTACACTAAAGTCACATTTTTCAAATTAGAAATAATGTCTTTACAATAATGTGTGGAAATGAGAGTTTTAAAATATCTTAGTAAGTAAATAAAATATATTTATTAAAATTGGATTCATGTTTCTTTTAGCTTATAAAGGCTATGGAAGCCACTTTGAAAAACCAGTAGAGGACTTACTCTTTCCTTCTGCTGGACAGGCTGCTATTGGGAGCAGAACTTGCAGCCCTTATATATAGCTGCAGTGCAGCTTTCAAGACAGGGTCCTATAAGGAAGGGATTACTTTAATAGTTAGTACAGTTTCTGCTGTTAAAAAACAGATATGGTCTGCAGAGATGGCTCAGTGGTTACAAGCGTGTACTACTTTTCTAGAGGGCCCAAGTTCAGTTCTAGAATTCATATCAGGCAGCACACAATTGCCTGTAACTCTAGCTTCAGACAATCTAACTTACTATTATGGCCTCCATGGGCATCTACACTCAAATGTATACGCACACACAAAAATTGTTTCCAGGTGTGTGTATGTGTGTGTGAGAGAGAGAGAGACAGAGACAGAGAGACAGACAGAGAGAGGGGGGAGGAGAGAGAGAGAGAGAGAGAGAGAGAGAGAGAGAGAGAGAGAGAGAGAGAGAGAGAGAGAGAGAGAGAGAGAGAGAGAGAGAGAGTTTTTAACCTGGGTGTGATTGTCTTCACCACAACCAAGAAGCTGAAACAAAATAGATCGATCACAAGTTTGAAGTCAGCCTAGACCTCATAGTGCAACTCTGCCTCAAAAAGAACAAAATAAAACCTTAGACATATTCAAGCCCAGTGTGGTGGCCCACACCTTTAATCCCAGCACTTGGGGGGGCCGAGACAGGTGGGTCTGAGTTTGAGGCCAGCCTGGGCTACAGAGTATGTTCCAGGGCAGCCAGAGCTACACAGATAAACCTTGTCTAAGAAAAACCTCAAACCATCCAAGGAATAACAACAAAACAACTTAGATTCATGCAGGAGCTACTATAGAGTACATTCGGGAGTGGAGTAGATGTAGATGCATTTCTGCTGGCTACCTTCTGAGAGCTTTTTCAACACTACATTTCTACTTTTCATCTCTGTGATTCTGAGATTCTGTGTTGTACCTTCACTGAGAATTTCTCATCTAATAATGACACAAATTTAGAAGAAGAACCAATGATGAAATGCAGTTAACAAAACCTGACTGATAGAGAGATCGTTTCCACTATATTGACTCAGGAGGAAAAGTGAAGATGAAGGCTTTGAACTAGATTTTTAGGAGACCAGGGTTTGGGATTCTCCAGTGCCTGTGGTGGATCCCGAGCACATGATAGGCAAGCGCTCTACCACTAAGCTAGCGCTATTTTAAATAGTCACTTAGTATGGAAGCCATACTGACCTTAAACTCTATGTGTCTAGAATTTGTACTCCTGCCCCAGCCTCTCATAAATGCTCAGATTACAGACCTAATAAATGCTCAGATCATATTTAGAAGGAGATCCTAGAGATACACTGACAAACACAAGACAGAAGACAAGGAAGTATACAAAAGATCAGTTTCAGAGAAGAGTCTGTCAGTTTGGTTAGAGTAGAGGCTACACAGATGTGTATATGATACATTGTAGGTTTAAAGGTTGGATCTAGGGTTGGTTTGTTTTTCCTTCTCAAATGAAATATCCTTTATAAAAGAAAGAGATGCGTTCCAAAATACATGTGCTCTGGGCCTGAAAGTCTACTTAAAGTATACACTTAAGTTATTTTATCCTACACAGAATAACTTGGGGAATTCACATTATCCTACAGTGGCTCTAAGCAGTGTTAAGGCTGGATAGTTGTAGAGCTCCCAGGTGGCTGTAAAATGGGAGCCAGTGACGTTGAGTGTTCATAAGAGTTTTAAAGGCACATACTAGTTATACTGTAGTCATAGTAGTTACACTCTTAAAGGTGAGATGGCAGTGTAAAGTTGGGTTCCTTAGTACTTGGAAATAAGGTAGCGTGTCCTGTGACCACCATATATAAGTTAAAATGTGCAGTGTTTTAGTTGTGAAGATGTAGTTCTCCAAAAACAACACAGTAAGCACCTCTGGAACTTAGGCATGGTAAAGAGAGCAATGAGGGTGACAGGGAGTTCTCAATGAGATATTTTCCCAAGGAAAGGTAGGGAGAGATAGCTCTAAGTTATGCTTCCATTGTCTAATGTAATTTGTTGCTAAGCAAAGTAAATATAAGTAGTCATTTGGCCATTGCCAAAGCTAAAGGGGGTTTGTTGTGTTATATTTTCCATCTGTTAGAAAACTATGGAATCCACAGTAATTCCAAGCGTAGTTATACCATCACACACTGTCCCTGTTTGTTTCTGTCAACAGTTTCTGCCTGTGTACATGCACATCCGGGTTCTGGTTGCTGCATATCTGTTTCAGACAGGATATGGGCATTTCTCTTACTTTTGGATCAAAGGAGACTTTGGGATCCATAGAGTTTGTCAGGTAAGAATGCAATCAGTTGTTCTCTTTTTCTTTCAACTCAACATGCTTTTCTGTCTGTCTGTTAAGGAAACATAAATATGGTTATTATAAGATCATTAATCTATGGATTTAGGAAATATCACTGTAACATTGTGTTTTGTGTTCACCATTTATAGTAATTTGAGATAATTTAATAGTGATGGAAGGGAAGGGTGACCTAGATGCATATATAATAGCATCTGTGTGCAAAGGTTCAGTGTTGGTCTTCAGTTATGTAGAGAGGTCCACAGTTACCTCAAATGACCGTGCTTTCTCCCTCCTCCCTGAGAAGAAGATTAATACTTACTGACCTTCTGCCTTGTGCTAAGCAGTGTCTAAACACCACTTCCCCTCTATTGCAGCCCTGAGACATCCTCATGATCATAGATGGGAACAGAGGCTCAGAGAGACCAAATGCTCTGTCCTGGGGCATAGAGTCAGTGGTACAGGACTGATGGAAGGCTTCTGACAGCCTATATTTTGTTAATAAATTAGAACTGATATATCAAATGACTCTAATGAAAGTCACAAGGACTTTATAAAACTTGAATTGTGCTGCTTTGTATCTCTGACACCTATCCATTTTTTCCCCAAATGGATAAATCAACATTGAACAAGAGATGGAATGAACACCTTTTTCCTGAGGAAATCGAGTCTCTACCTATGTCCCTAAGAGGGTGGCATAGGATTTCCTCCCTCTGTTTAAGAAGATGGCAACTGTGGTTACAGGATAGCTCTGGCTGGCTCTTTACTGGAGTTTCATTAGTGTAGCAATACATAAATATTTTATATTCAATTTCTTCAGTGATTTCAGGACAAATGAAGCTTTGGGAAATGGTAAAATACACTTGTGTAGTTGTTACTTGAGTCTTAAATGTATTAGTGTATTGAGAGAAGTCTGTCTTTGCTTTTCATGTATATTGGGAATGAAAAACATTTTCTTCTCCATTTTCATAGGTCTTATTTCGTCTCAATTTCCTGGTTGTGGTGTTATGTATCGTAATGGATCGACCTTATCAATTCTATTACTTTGTCCCCTTGGTCACCGTGTGGTTCATGGTCATATATGTCACTTTAGCACTGTGGCCACAAATAATCCAAAAAAAGGCAAATGGTAAATAGACTGTCTTATTAATGTTAATAAATGTATTCTTTCAATGTGTAAGATTTCCTGTTTAGTTATTAAAGGCTGTTTCTTATTGAAGGATGTAGATCATGTAAACTTAGGTGTGCTTTTAGCATTTTTGTTTAAAAACTATTCCTAAAATAATACAGTCATGTAGCTAGTGGCAGAATATAGCACTGCAGAATACTAGTTTACATGTATACTATGTATTTCACTCTCAGCTGGTAGGACAGTTTTATACAGCAGGCTGGTGGGAGTGTAAGGGAGGAGGAGTCACATGGGACTGCAGGCTCCTCCCACTTTGGACTCCAATATTGCACTTTGCTTTTCATGATTTCTTACGTATGTGGAGGGTTTGAGTAAACATTTACTTGTGAACACCTTGGTATGTCATAGCTTATAACATGTCTTCTACACAACTGCTTAAGAATTGTCGTCAACCTATTTACATAAAAGGAACTCAGTTACTTAACCTGTAAGGTTGTCACTTCCAAATTTCTCAGTCTCTTACTGATCATGTTCAAGTAAGGCCACAGTTGTTTTCTTAGTGTGATTTCCCCATGATCATATCATTAAAGGGAATGAATTGCTGTGTTTTTTTAATAAAATACTTTTTAAATATTAAATCTGTAATTGACTTCCAACTTAAATACTGCCCGTCAAAAGGTTTTCTCATTGGCTTCCATTAAAATGTTAAGTAAGTTTCCAGGAAAGTTTCAGTGAAGCCCTTTTAAAATTCATCAGTGCCATTGGACAGTTTATAGGTTTATAGTATAATTTCTCAATAAAACTTAGACCATTTATGAAAATGCTTAAACTTTGAACATGTACTTTGAAGAATGCAGAAGTTAAAATGTGCCTTATGGTTAAATCCTCATCCATTGGGAAGCTTATACTTCCTGGGGCTTTAATTTTACGCATTATTACCTAAGCTAGTATTTAACTAAGTTTGAGCATTGTATTTAATATATAGTTGTATGGTCTGTTGAAACATTCAGTAGTGAATGCGTGCAAATGCATCCAAGAGGTACCCTAAAACGCGTATCTATCACAGATGGATGGCAGGTTTGTGTGCTGTCAGCAATACCCTGCAGTCCTGTTCCTCACAATAACACTTGGCTGACTTCTGTTTGCTCTACCTTTGAGTTAGGCCCCTACCACCCATACATATACTATATGCAAGGGTGATTTTGAGAAACTGTCAGGATACAAAGTCATTAAACAGAGTGTCCTCAAAGCGTTTGTTAACAGCAACTTACATTGTTTTGTCCGTTGCATATTTTCTCTTTTAGGAAATTGTCTGTGGCATCTCGGCTTACTGTTGAAACTAGCTTTCTTGCTGCTGTGCATATGTTTCTTGGCATATTCTCAGGTTCGTACGGTCTCCTCAGTTTACAGTTTATAATATTTTAAAGTTCAAGTCTACTAAGGTATGTGAGAAGAGTTAGAGCTTTTTTTCTTTAAGCTTCATTTTTTAAATGACTGTAATAAAAGTGTCACTCTGTACTTGACTGCTCAATGTAGTTCTTTTGAGACCCTACCTACTTTGTTGCTACTGTTTTTGTTGTAAGAGCAATTTTAAGCTCTTCCTCTGGCAATTGTTCAAGATCCATTTTACTTGACTTTGATCAATCAAACGTTTATTGAATGCCTCTTAGGAGACAGACTCTAAGTGATGATCAAAATTCTCTTGACAGAATGTGCAGCTTAGTTTGTGCATTATTCATTACATCACACTGTGACTTGATTTTTCTGTAAATGAACAAAGTAAATATGAGGCAGTCAATAAAATGAACTTGGGTGCAGAGGGTCTACAATGTCTTATTGTTTAATTTAAAATATTTTGGTTATTTTTATATGTCTGACCCTATAGCCTCTATTTTGGTGGTTGAGATTTTCTGTAGACTTAGCAAAATGTCAGTCTATTATCTGCTGGTTATATCTGTCAGGCCGACATGTTATTAGGGCAGCATGATTTGCAGAATAAAATATTTTAATTTGAATATCAATAGTTTTGACATAAGGAGCAGTTGACTCCCGGTGCTGCATTTTGCATAAAGCTGTGTCAAGGTTAAACGCCCATCAGGTATATTTTGTTTTGTGTTGGATGGGGTGTGTGCTAATTCTATGTGCCTTTGGGGGAGGGGTTGGTAGGCCTTTTAGACTTACTATCATACTTTGAAGTATTTAAAACATTTTTGTTTCTGCATGGCATACATTTGTGAGATAAATAAAATAATAAAACAATGGGCAAATGTATAAAGAAATAGGTAACAACAAATAGCCAACATTCTATGAGTACATTGGAATGGAAAAGAAAAGGAAGCTAACCCATTAATAAATAGTGACAATAAGAAAACCTCCCCAGCCTGTGTCTGTGTTGACTACAGGACAAGAACAACAACAAAAAAGTATACAGTCCAGGTCAGCCCACTGTCTTCTCAAAATGTCAGTTCTCAATAAAGCTTCTTCACTGGTGACATGATAAATTAATGTCAATTAGAAATAAAATTTAACCTACAAATGCATTTATATATATTCTTCGTATATGTGACTGCAAAGATCATATATTTACATTTAGTAAATCCATATTGACTGTGTTTTATATATCTCATCTCTCTCTCTCTCTTTCGCTCTCTCTCTCTCTCTCTCTGTGTGTGTGTGTGTGTGTGTGTGTGTGTGTGTGTGTGTGTGTGTTTAATCTAGAGGACTTTATTTTGCAACTTTTGGAAAGAATGAATCTACATTGTCTGCAGAATAGATTTTGATACAACTCTTGTTTTATGTGCAGTTGAAGATGTGGTTAAATGGAAATGGTTGCATTATATGAAACATTATCTTCTTGTTTTTCCTTGGGTGTTGTAATTATTTTTGGTAATCAATTTTTATGCTGTTGCAGTAGTTCCGGTAATGGGACATTTCTTAGTAGAGTGTGCTGGCATTCTTTAGTCAATATTGAGGATTTGTTCTCTTTGAAGGGTTTCATTAGTGTGCAGGAATGTACCCAAGACTTTTGCCCCTTCGTTCTCACATTTTCCTGGCTGTCAGATTAATAAGAGGGTGCCATTCAATAACTGGACAAAGTAAAACTTGAAACTGTGTTTCAAAGGCTAGTAATAGCATTTGGGGATGGCTGATTGGAGGGACTAATCCAGGAAACTCTTTCAATTCTAATAATTACAGTTAATTAAGGACATCTAGAAGAAAATAAGTATTTTCACCTTAATCATTCTTTCGGTTATTGATATTATATTGGCTAAAGCATTTTGTATTTTTGTATCTGACTAATAAATATGAGCATTTTGGTATATTAGATTATAATTCCTCGATAATTTCTAATTACTAGGCTTTGTTTTTTTAAAATGTTTTAGTTTTAGTAGCTTTCGTGTGAAGGATGAATAAATTTGGAAAGTATAAAATAATAATTACTGGCCATAGCTAAAATTAATTTTTTCTTAAGTGGATTTCAGATGAAGCCATAGTTTAAAAATTAGTTCGAACAAAGTTAAAAATGTGCATGACCTTTGTATATTTCTTGCTCAACAAATATATACATTAGGATAAAATTGCAAAGCAAGCAAGGTTTGTATCGTCTTAACTGTCTGGATTTCTTTTCTTAGGGTGCATTTGAGAAGATCTTTTCTCTTTGGCCACTTTCCAAATGTTTTGAGCTGAACGGGAATGTGTATGAATGGTGGTTCAGATGGCGGTTAGACCGTTACGTATGTATTCTCTTTGTGGTATATTGCTACCTCAAATGATACTGTTAGAAAAGTATTTGCACTTTTGTCTATCTCTGCTCACTTTTAGAATAAATAAACACCTTGAGTGTAAGTTAATGCAGAATACCCACATGCCCCTTTTCAGTACATGCTTGTCTATTAGCAGCAAAGTTTTTTCCATGTTGTCTATACAGTGGCCTCTGACTGAGAGTTATGATTTAGAGATGATTCACAGACAGATGTGCCATTCAGAACAGAACTCTTTGAGTTCCATGATGAGTCCAGAGTTTCATGAGATGTTGATGTTGGGAAGTGTCTAGTAGAGAAAGACATATCCCTGAGCTGACAGGCATTTTCAATCCACTCTCAAGTCTAAGCTAGCTATTGTAATGGGGAATTAATCCATGCAATATAGATATGGTGATTGATAGACATGCAAAGCAGCAGCAGCAATGGCATACCAGTTTATTCCATGCACTTAACCTAAAATAGTCCAGATACCCATGTCTAATAAAATGCAAACTGTCTAGCAGAACACTCAGTCAATGATAATTACTTTACCCTTCACTTGTTTCTATCTTTCATGGTCTTTCAATATGCTTTCTTGATAACTATTTGGTGCCATTCTCTACTTCTAACATCTGTGCATTTCCCAGTGTAGTTTATTGCATCTCTAAGCCACATATAAATACAGTGTTCCTGCTAAAGTCTCTTTAAAGCAATCTCCTAGGATGCGCTTATCTTAGTCTGTTTGGACAACTATTGAAGAGCATGATAGCCTCGTTGGCTCCTGAACAACAAAGCATATTTCTTACAATTTCAGAGACTGGGAATCCAAGTTCATGGTGATGGCAGATTTAGTGAGCGTGAGGGCCATGGGCAGCCATGTTCTCACTAGGAATGTTCCCTAGGGTCTCTGACATGGCACTAACTCCACTCATAAAGATTGTATGCTTGTGTCCTGACTGCTTCCCACATACTCACTTAAAATGCCAAACTCCACATAGGAGTTCATTTTCAGTATTCAAGAGGTTTTTATTATTTGTGGGAGGGAGCAACCAAGGAATAAAAAATCCCAGTCCTTTCCAGTAATAAATCGAATACTTATTTTTGACTTTTTTTTTAAGAGACAGCTGTAAGGGGCTGGAGAGATGGCTCAGAGGTTAAGAGCACTGACTGCTCTTCCAGAGGTCATGAGTTCAAGTCCCAGCAACCTCATGGTGGCTGACAGCCATCTACAATTTAATTTGGTGTATATGTTATAAATAAATAAATCTTTAAAAAAGAAAAAGAGACAGCTGTAAGCCGGGCATTGGTGGCACACGCCTTTAAACCCAGCACTCAGGAGGTAGAGGCAGACGGATCTCTGTGAGTTTGAGGCCAGCCTGGTCTACAGAGAAACCCTGTCTAAAAAAAAACAAACAAAAAATATATCTATGTGCCCTATGCTCCACCATGTTGTTTTTTGTGACTAGTTTCCTTCTAAGCTTAAGAGTTGTCAGTATTGTTGCTGGGTTTGATAGAAGGGAGCTGTATAAAATGTGCTTTAACATTTTGAAGAATGTTTAGGAGCCTTGGTATGTTTAAATTGTTGAGGTTAGGAACGTAGCCCAGTGGAGCATTTGTGTTTCTCATGTACAAGGCCCAGGGTTCAGTCTCCAACATTTGAAAAAACCAGTTGTCTTTCTCCCCTCACTGGCTGCCAAAAGACTTCGAGGAAGACCCTCTGTACTCAGGACGCTTGTCCTCCTGCTCTACTGCAGGACGCTTGTCCTCCTGCTCTACTGCAGGACGCTTGTCCTCCTGCTCTACTGCAGGACGCTTGTCCTCCTGCTCTACTGCAGGACGCTTGTCCTCCTGCTCTACTGCAGGACGCTTGCCCTCCTGCTCTACTGCAGGACGCTTGCCCTCCTGCTCTACTGCAGGACGCTTGTCCTCCTGCTCTACTGCAGGACGCTTGTCCTCCTGCTCTACTGCAGGACGCTTGTCCTCCTGCTCTACTGCAGGACGCTTGCCCTCCTGGCTTGCACTTTCTAGCAGTCACTGGCTTTATTTGACTATCCAACTTTGCTCTTGAAGTTTAAGCTCTTCTCGGCAACTCTAAAGTCTTCAGCTTCTCGCCCACCTGCTTTTATAAATACCCTACTAAATAACCAAGCATTGTTGGTAGTGTTGGAGGAGTGACTCTTCAAACAACCTTCCTCTTTGTTGTTTTCAGGTAGTCTTCCATGGCATGCTGTTTGCTTTCATTTATCTGGCTTTGCAGAGACGTCAAATACTTTCTGAAGGAAAGGGTGAACCTTTGTTTTCAAACAAAATTTCCAACTTCCTATTGTTTATTTCAGTAGTGTCTTTCTTGGTAAGTTTTAAAATGTAAGTTTTTAATTTTCTAAATTTTTAACTGATAGAGAAAATTAACCTTAAAACAAAGCAATATAATCAACTGATTTAAATAAATACTTTAAAACTTCTTAGTATGTTGTTTTCTAGTTGGATATAAGCTCTAAATAGAATGCACATACAAGTTCAGTATGAACACTTTTAGCTGAGAGTATAGTGAAATAGGAATTTCAAAAGTTACAATCAATTTGGGAAAAATTATAGCCTGTACTCTTTAATGTGAAGAGTCAGTACTGCCTTGTAATGACCAGATTCCCAGATGCCCAAATCTTTGTCCTCTCTCTCTCCTTTCTCATGCTTAGACAGATAATCCTACTGAAACAAGTGAATAAGCCTACAGCTAATGGTGCTCTTTATGGAATAGTGAGCTGCCATGTTGTGAGGAAGATCACCACTAAAACTCTGTTTCATGTCTGTTTAAGTGTCAGCTGTTTTGTGATCTGACCTAAGCATTCTCATTTTAGACCTATTCCATCTGGGCTAGCAGTTGTAAAAACAAAGCACAGTGTAATGAGCTCCACCCATCTGTTTCTGTAGTGCAGGTAAGTATCTCTCTTACTTTTTGTCCAGACAGAGTCATGCTGTGTAGCCCATGCTAGCCTCAAACTCACGATTCCCTTGCCTCAGGCTCCCAGGTGATAAAATCATGGCGTTCAGTACCAAACTCAGTTCCAAAGAACTATCTTGATTTAGAGAACTTTTCACTCGGAAGTTTTTGTACCAATATAGACTTCAGAAATAAAGAGATGACAGAAAGTTCAAACACCAGAAAATGCAGGGAAGCCTTATCTTTCTTTACAATAATATAGATATTAAAATCACTCTCAAAGTCTTATTATATCTCATGTTTGAAAATTTTGCAGCCAAACATTTGTAACTTGGAAATTGTTAATTTCAGGACTAGGGTGATGGCTCATTTGGTAAAATATTTACTATACAGAGCACGAAGATGGGTGTTCAAGCTCCAGTACCTTGTAAAAGGCTAGGTGCAGCAGCATGTGCCTAAAATCCCCGCTCAGGGGTAGCAGAGACTAGAGGGTCCCTGTGCTCACTGGCCAGCCTATTTAGCCAATTGGTGAGCTCCATGCTCAGTGAGAGACATAAAATGAAAATGAAGAGCTATTGAGTAGCACACCCAATTTCAACCTCTATCCTACACACACACACACACACACACACACACACACGTTTGCAAAGCATTTTAATTCTCTGCTCTTACTTGCTTTTTTAATATTTGCTTGAATTTATTTAATTTTATTTATTAATTACCTACTATGCTTAGTACCACTTAATAATAAAAGGCTCAGTGTTACACAAGATGATACCTGTCCTCAACAAACCTGTGGTTTAATGGAGCTGTGTGCCAATGCACACTGCTTTGTTTAGTTAGGAGTATTTTGTGTTCATTGAATAATCTTTTGATTCTGCATGTTAGATATTCCAGTGATGACCAGATCCAGCACATTTTCTACTCTTGTGGAGGGGACAATTGTTAGAGAAAATTTTCTATAACAAATTATTACAATTACTATATAATTATGAATAAAAGTATACCATAGTTTATGAACTATAATAAACGGTGGTATATGACCTAGCTGGAAGACAAAGCAATGGGTCAGGGATCCTGGGTTGTTTTCCTGAGAATAGAGAGAAGGAACAGTTGGGTAGGCCCTATAGTGAAAGGGAGCACGGCACAATGAATGAACTTAGAGCAGGCCATTGGGACGGGAACTCAGAAAGCCAAGATATAGAGAGGTGGGGGATAGTGTCTGGAAAGGATCAGTCCTGTAAAGATTCAAATCTGATCTACAAAACAAAAGGTCGGTTGCAGGCCATCATAGGACATGATCATCAGGGTGGGGGCAGTAGGTATAGATTACTTTGAAAGTATGGGCGTTCTTCCAAACTTTTGTTGATGTAAAAGCAAGGGTTTTTTTGAAGGAAATTGTGTCTTAAAAATCTAAAGGATGAGTAGTCTAGCACAGAGGAACATGGAGAGTTTTTGGAGTATCTTCTCCTAGGTCCTAAGTATTCTTCAGTGTGGAGACTGTGGAATTTATTCTCAGCTTCTGTGTGTTCGGTAGTACCAAACAGGTGAGAGATTCTCTAGACATGATTGGTAATCAAGTTTCCAATGCTATGTTTGAATGGCATTTCTATTGCTTCTGTACACAATGGTACTACTTACCAATAGCTCTTTGTGCAACTTATAAAATGTCATTGCTGTGACTCACAGGATAAGAGGGAACATTAGCACTCATGATATACCAGGCAGAACAATTTAGAGGGAGCATTGGAGAGGTGGCTGCAAGCAGAATAATACCAACTCGTTCCTGCTTAGCCGCCTCCACACGTCATATATCCAAAGTTACCTTTGCTCTGAGAACTATAGCTTCTCCCTCATAGGGTAAAGCGTGGACAAGGAATATACATTCAAGAAGTCATTCGTTTTATAGATTGTTTGCTTCTTTTTAAGGATATTTGTTCCACCAAGTAAATGTCAACAGCATCTAAGAAATTCAGATGTTATAACATCCTTCTGAACAGACTGCATGCTTGTTCTTAGATGTGAACAGAGGGTATACGTGTGTGTCTCATGAGGAATTAGAAGAGTGGAAGTTGGACAGACAGACAGACAGACAGACAGACAGACAGACAGACAGAAAAACAAATAGATATCATTAAAGTGCTTACATACATACATATTGGAGGGAATTCCTTTAAGATTTTAACCACGTAAACAACTCCTGGTGTTTCATTTGAAAATATTTCCCATCCTAACATGACTTTTTCTTTCCTCCTTTCTCTGTTTTTCTTTCTCCCCCTCCACATAGATAGATAGATACATAGTTAGATAGATAGATAGATAGATAGATAGATAGATAGATAGATAGATAGATAGATAGATAGATAGATGAGAAAAAGAGAGACAGAGAGACAGAGAGAGAGATGCTAGAAATCAAATCCAAGATCTGGAAGGTGCTAGACAAACACATTACAATGGAGTGTACCCCAGCCTGAGCCAGTCTTTGAATATGAGCTTTATGGTTTTGCCTAACAGATTTGATAGGAATTTCTAGCAGTGACTAGCTATAGAACAGGTAATTAATCATAAAGAATGTATAGAAAATGATTATAATAGTACCCAGGAAATTTTAATGCTAACCCAATTTTAAACATCATTATATTCACTTGAAGTTAATAATAACTTCCCAGACTTCAACTGTGCTCTCCATGGTTATTATTTCTTTGACTTTACTATTTTCCTTATTTATTAAATAAACGATAAAGTACAACACTTCAGTATGGCAAGGAGATGTAGTACGTTTTGAGAATGGCATATCCCAGATAGAAAGCAAGGAAATGACTTGTTTGGTACTCTTCCTGGATATCTGGTTGCTCAGCTTATGGGATTGCATGCTTATGTATTCATATTTCTAATATTTTCCATTACAGCCATGTTACATTGCTAATTATAACACATTAAAGAAGCATAGGTCTCCCCTTCTTGATCTTTACCTCTAAGTGTTTAATGCTTATGCTGTTAACTATGTACAACATTTCTTTAAAGATCTCCATGGTGTGCATCAATAAATACCCATGCATGTTTTCTTATTAATGTTCATGTCCACCTTTTAAAGGTGAGCTCATCCCCATTTGTATTGATGATGATGCAGACCTAGTTAAGTGCCTTTCCTCAGGTCCCAGAACTGGCACAGACAGGCCAGCTTGATGGCTCGCTGATGCCATTGCCACAAGTGTCCCTTAGCTAAATCATGCCTGACGGTTTCTCCTGGCCAGATTATCCACCGACCTCCTTTCACCTCCGTACCCTTATGCTCCCCAGAGTATTTCTGCATCCTTTGACAGAGGCATGGAATGAACATCACCAATTGTAGCTCTTTTCTGAAGCTGAAGTGGATGTCCCACCCTTTTATAAGAGAAAAATTCTGAAAAGATAATGATGAAAATACAATCTCTTTTGGAAAAGTAGTCTTGCTTCCTTGAAAGATGAGCTGGTGGTGGTGGCGCATGCCTTTAATCCCAGCACTTGAGAGGCAGAGGCAGGCGGATCTCTGTGAGTTCGAAAGAAAGGAAGATGAATTCCAAGGATAGTACTTAATGAACTAGTTATTGGATATGAGACTGTGAATTGAAAGTTTTAAAAGCGCAAGATTGTTCTCCCTTGTACAGAAGGATACAGGAGAGGGGTGACAGCCAGAAGCCTGCATATGAATGATGGGTGAGATGTCACTTGTCGGGCTTTGCAGAGGCAACCTGGCAGTAATCATGGCCCTGCTGCTCCCATACACACATCTCTGGCAGTGTAGGAGGGATTGTGTTCATTGGATTTCTGTCACTATAACAAAATACTCAGGAAATGCAACTTAAAGGAAGCAAGACTTGCTTTGATTCATGCCTTAGTAAGTTCTGGTGGAGTTTGTGGGCCTGGTGCTTCTGGGCGGTGATGTGGCAGAGCACCCGTCTGCCAAGGCTGCTTGGCCCAAGGTGGCCAAGAGCAGAAATAGAGAGGAAGGTCCAGGGACAAGGTGTACTCTTCAAAGGCATGTCCTCATTGAGCTCCTTCGACCATCAAGGCCTCACCAAGTATTACCTCATCCAGCCACGAACGGACTGGTGGACCAGTCCGTTTTAGGAACCCTTCATATCCAAACCACAACCAGGAATTTGAAATATGTGAATAGAAAGAGTGGCCCTGGCCCTGGCAGATACTCTATGAATGGAGCAAAGATCCATCAGCTTTATACAGAGAGTGGGGGGATGGGTGGCAGCAAAGGGTTAATATGTTCTCTGTTGTACGTAGAGTAAACCTTTTCTGTCTAACACTACCTCAAATCCACATTACTCCAGTATACAGATGATGTGTTGAGAAACCCAGCTTGGATGCACTCTAACCAAAATACCCTGCCAGTGTTCATCAATTAAAAAGTTTACATCAAATTTAAGAGTATAAACAATGGAATTACCACTTGGACTGCATTCAAATTCGTTTAAATAAATATGTTTATGATATTTACCTTTTTGGGTTTTTCTCATAGATTGTAGCCTTCATCCTGATAAGGAACATCCCTGGATATGCCCGTTCTGTTTACAGTTCATTTTTTGCTTGGTTTGGAAAAATTTCACTAGAGGTTGGTACACTAACATTTTGCTTTATCATAAGCAGCCGAGTATACCTGTGCATGTACATGTATGTGTGTGTGAAGGTGCAAATCTGACACACTCTCCTTAGATCAGAGCTACATTCTGTGTAGAATTATAACTCTGAACAATCTTAAGGCATTTGGGATGCTTTTAAGCCTCATTTAACAATGGCTGGATGTCAGTAACTGTCAGAGCATCTTCACATTGCCGTCAGCTTTTCAGTCAACTAAGATGCTTGGAGAGGAAGAAAAGTACTAACCAGATAGAAATGAAGTCTCACCAGGGAGGTTTTGGCTTTTTGCTCTTCTCCATAATTAAATATTGCTGGGATAAAGATTGCTAATGTTTATTGTAGTATATGTAATTTTCATACGCCTGGACACTGTGGGAAGATAGTCAAATTCATTACAGTGTGAGCTGTAAAAGATAAAATTATCTTCAAAATCAATTTAAGCCATGGGGTTTGAAGTACACTCTGTAGATTCTGAGCTTTGTTATTTGAGATAAAATGCTTTCATACAATTCATATTACAGTTATAACATACTTTTCAGAATATGAGACTTGTAGAGGTACCTTCTTAAATAGGGCAGCTGAGTTTCCCCAAGTTCTCTGGTCAGGGTTCAGGGTTCTGCCACTTTCTGTTGTCTCTGTTAGAAGAGAAGCTGCACAGGGGTAACAAACTCTACAGTAAGCTTTCGGGCTGGTAGGAGAACCAGAGGGGTCGGAAAAGCCACCGAGAGTAAAGCATTATGACATACTTAAGTTAGGAAAATTTGTAATTCAGTCATTAATGCTCCGCACACACCTGACCTTAAGTGTTTTGTTTGTTTGTTTGTTTTCCAGCTGTTTATTTGTCAGTATCACATATGGCTGGCGGCAGACACAAGGGGTATTTTGGTACTCATCCCTGGAAACCCCACTCTCAACATCATCATCAGCACGTTCATCTTTGTTTGTGTGGCTCACGAAATTTCTCAGATCACCACTGACCTAGCCCAGGTCCTTATTCCTAAAGATAACGCATCTCTCTTCAGAAGGCTGGCTTGTACAGTTGCATTCTTTTGTGGACTACTCATCTTATCCTCCATTCAAGATAAATCAAGACTCTAGGCACCTAAAATCCTAAGAACAAACTCTTTGGGCTTACTTAGCGTCTGCCTAGAGGAGAAAATAATCTGCCTGAGATATTAATGACTGTAAATATAAATATTTGGCAAGGGGACAGTTTTGTGATGGCCGTTAAACTCATGTGATTGTATATATCAGCACTGTATATATCCAATGTGAAATGCATAAAATCATTGAACCAGGTTGCATCATAGAGGAATGCATGTAGAAAGACTTTTCTACTGCATCTGTGTCTCCGTTCATAGGTGGTTATAGTTAACGTATGAAGGCAGGGAAATGATGGATTTTCCAGTAAACTTGTGTACGTAATTTACTTAGCTTAGTGATGCCACTGAGTGTTTTGATGTTCCCTCAGTTTGTAGTGACTGTCCCATCTGCATCAGTCCTTACAGAGCTCCCTGGTTCACTGAGAGCTTAGTGCTGAAGTGACTTGCAGGGTCCTTTCTGTCTTATGTGCAATGACGTGAAATGAGAAACAGTATGACGGACGCTAACTCACATGCGTTCATATCCACTGTGTGTTTCCTGGTGTGATTTTTTTTCCTAGCTGTGGTTTTCGGGTGTGTAAGCCTAACTCTGTACATTTTGCCCTTCACAGAGTTGTTCTAGAGCTCCGTGACAAGGTTTTGTTATTGTGGATATCATCATTATTTTTAAAAAGACCAAATTTCCCTTCCAATCCGAACCTTCTCCCACTTTCTTTCCCTAAGTTATAACAGGATAATAAAACTACCCTGTGGATCCACTGATGTTTTCTGGCCACTAATTAAGTATTGTGTATTGTTTCCAATGTTTGGAAAGTCCTTTAGAGCCATTTTGGTATTGCATATTATTCCCTCCTTTTTTTTTTTTAAATATTTATCGATCTGAACCTGTATAGCATAGGGAAGTTTAAAGCCCTCTGATCGAAATGTCTGACCATAGTAGAATTTTAAATAAGCTGGTGATTTCGGATAATGAATGATTTGTTCAGTTGTTTTTTTTTAAGCTAACTGTTAAAGGTATACATTTATTTATCTGTTGTACAGATCTGATTATGATTTTTAATGTATGAAAAAGATTGCACTTATTTGCTTTTATTCTGTGTGTGGTAAGATGTATTTTCTGTTCACAGTGTGTGACAATAAGGAGTAATTTAAACAGCAAATAAATGTTCCGTGGAGGCTTATTTTTGTATTGGCAAAATATCAAGCCTTGTGTGTATGGTGTTTTTTTTTATTCATCGTCTTTATCAAACCCTTAATATGTAGGGGTAAATCACCAAGTTCTAGCCAAGAATGAATTAATTTAGTTATTAGGGCTTGTGATGATAATCTGACTTCAAACTAGGAAATCTAAGAATTACAGTTTATTTGTAGTTTTATTTTGAAGTTTTATAATTCTGAAACCTTATATGCTACTGATACATTCCCGTTAGCTGAGAAGTATTTGTTGGGCAGAAATGTGCTTTTCTCTGTTGCTCTGTCCTTCTGCCCTTCCTTCATCTTTTGACATTTCCCAGATAGACAATTGTAATGATTCATTGCTCTGCCTCATAGACGGCAGCCTTGTAAGCAGAGAGTCGTATAGTTATAAATCAAAAACTTCCAAGCACCGTGCTCACATTATTCTTGCTCATGTAGCTTGCCAATGAGCAGAGTGCATTTTAATTTCACTTGTAAGTTTTATTACCTGAAGAAGACTCTTGCTGATGGAACAATTGAAAGAGAAAGATGACCAGTTCTCTCCGTGGTTTGGAGGCAACTATGTCTTTCAGTAATGATGCCCAAGAGAATGCCGAAGTTTTTCTCTTCTGTTTGAACTCAAGCCTAAAACTCCAGGGAAAAGCACTATTTCTTCATGGCATGTTTTATTTAAGTTGCAAGACTTTCTTAGATGGCACTATACATAATGATATAATTAAAACTCAGTGGGTTTTTTTATGTTGATACTTGAAGTCATTCTATTTAACTTGGTTTAATATGTCCTCTGGAGAAGAGGATTTTGCAGGAGTTGCCACGGGGAAGGCATCTGTGTTTGGTCAACGAATTGTTCTTGCTGCTGTGGTACAGATGCTGACTGTTGCTGAGCATTTGATTCTCAGTAAAGCTATTTCTGTATGATACGAACAGAGGACACAGTTCCCAAAGTCAGATAGTCTGTAGTCAAGAAACCATCCTCTGCCTCTGGGCTACTTTGCTCACTCAACTTTTCCATGGCCCCTCCTGCTTCTTGTGGCAAACTTTCCCCTTGTGTCTCTTGAGAAAGAATCATTGAAATTTCAGCCTGTGTCCAAGCCCATTACCTAGCTCTCTGTGTAAGACCAGGTTGTTTTTGTGATGACAGTAAATGACATTGATGTACCACTATTCCATCATAGCATGATACTTCAATTTCTTTAATGGGTACATTTTTTTCCTTCACAAATCTTTCATTTTCTCAAGGCTAGGAAGCTTTTAAACTTGATAAAGATCATTTTAACAATAAGCATGTCAGTATTTTTTTTAGTTTTTTAACAGTTATAGGTAGATGATAGATGGCTGGTGACGATAGTAGGTAGACATATAAATAGATTGATTCTGCAGAACCAAGGATAGCACTTCATGTAGAGACACGAAATGAGATTTGATATTATCACGAGTATTTGCAATTCCTCAGAAAGAACCCCATCTCTGAAAGTTAGTATTTTTGTCAATCTAACAAATGTTAGAAGAACCAAATTGGCATTTTTATGTTGAGCAATATTAAATTGCCTATTAATATGCCAATATTTTGACATGCAGAGATAATCATTTCCTATTGTCCCACTTAACAGCTTCCTTTGTTTTTTGGTTTTTTGGTTTTGTTTTGTTTTTTTGGGGGGGGGGTTTCTTTTTTTAGATCTTGATGGGCTATTAGTTACCTGAAGATCTTTTCATTGATAATTATTCCAAAAGTTGTAAATACTGTTTGGTCATATTTGGAGTAGTTTTATGAGGATTGATGGAAACTTTATACATTAATTTTTAAAATCACTGGTATTCAACAAAATTTATTCTAGTGTTATGAATGATAGGAATTAAAAATACTATTAACTTCCCTAGAAGATTCATGAAACAGTATAAAAAAGAAGTTATTTTGCAAAAGAATTGAGGCTGTTTATTAGTTAGAAGTAACCCACTTAAATCTTAGAGAATAAAAATGAGGTAAATCAATATTTTAAAAGGAAGCTTGGGGCCAGTAAAATAGGTCAATAGGTAAGGTACTTGCTGTCATGCCTAAGGACTTGAATAGGATCCCTGGGACCCACATAGTAGGAGAAAATTTGCACAAGTTTTCCTCTGACCTCTTATGTATGTGCTAAAGTAGGTAGGTGTATGTGTGCCTCCAGGTGCGTGTGCGCGCACACACACACACGCACACACACACACACTAAGCATAGAATAATTAAAACAAAAATAGAATTTTGTGGTTGTTTAGAAGTATGTCATTTCAAGTAAAATCTTTAAAGCTAATTATTTTCAAATTTCATCTATATTACGATTTCAATTACCAACATCATCTAGTACTTGTATTTTAGAGAATTATGTAATAATTGCAATTGTTTTTAAAGTTTTATCTCATGATCATACTATTAAAATACACCAATATTTTTGATTCTGAACTATTACAGAGGCATTAATTATGTTAGCTTCCCATAGACAGATTGAGTCTTTTCTTAGCTGATAGTCAAGCTTTCCACATTATCACAGTCTCTAAAATAGGAATTCTGGCACCTGCAAGACCACTGTTCATTTTCTTCTCATGTTGCTTCGTTCTCATTATTGTCACCTGCCTACTTGTAATTCTTTTAAAAAGTGAAATGTGACACCCCATGAGACCACATACTTTCTTTTATTTAAACATTAATCATCTAGCCCCATTCTCTTTGGAGACCCCGTTACTGCAGTGAAAGTTGCAACTCCAGAGTGAAGACGTCATGTCTTGTGAACCTGGGGTGCAATAGATAAGAGAAAGCCATGGCCATCAGCTAAGAAATTTGAGCTTTATTTTTCCCATGTTAAAGCAAGTTTCCTCTTGTTGTCTTGTATACCCAAATCTGCTGCCTCATTTCTCTCACAGCCTGCCCTGCTCCTGTCAGGATAAGCAAGAACCTCCATCTTGCTAAATCCCTCCATCACTGCTGTCCTTATCCTCCTTGTCCCAGGCAGCTGCCTTCATGTTACCTCTGCCATCTCTGGTTTTGTTTTCTTCCTATCTGAGGAGCCATGCCCCCAGGCTTGTTTAATGGGTCCTCCTCACACCTTCAGCATCTGAACATCATTTCCCAAAACCTGTTCCTCAATGCCCCTTACCCAGTCACATGACTTGGAACATCATCTGTATGCTGAGGACTATGAAGTTATAGTCTATCTGATGTAGAACTCAAATATACATTTGCTTTCTCTGTTCAACTATTTTAAAAGGACATCTAACCGTGAAAACAATGCACAAAAGCTTCTCTATTATTGGACACACAAAAACTGGCAAATCAAACCTCCCAGTCTTCCCCACCATGGCAAACAGCAACCAAGCCCCCTCCAGCACAACCAAAATGGGTCCTCTTCTTGGACACCCTTACTTATACACACGATGTCTTAGAGTCAGTAAATCTTGTCAGCCGCCCCTCAGAATCCATCCACAGTTCAGCTACTTGTCATCACCTCCAGGATGTCTGACCACTGTTCCAATATAGAGTCAATTCTCTCCTGGATTATGGTCTGTTTATAACCTGTTCGGTTTTTGTTTGTTCTGTTTTGTTTTAGGTTTCTTGCTGGGGTGGGGGGGTATGTCCATATCTGTATGCACACGTGTATAGAGAGCCCTCTGGTCTCATTCCCCAAGAGCCTTTTCTCTTCTGAGAGAAACTTAAAACTTCTCACTGGCCTGGAGTGCACTGATTAGGCTACACTAAAGTCTCTGTGTCCCCTGTGCTGGGATCACTGGCAGACACACCTCCACCTGAGATTTCTGTTGTGGGGGCCTGGGAATCAAACTCGAGTCTTGAATGAATTTTAGTTGTCTAGCTGACTCCCTTAGAGCATTTGTTTCTAGAGGCAGCAAGTTTTCTTCTCATTCACTGTTATTTGCTTAGCTGCTGTATCATTGCTTCTCTTAACACATGATTTACTGAGGTCATGGCTCAGTCGATACTGCAAAATCACACCTAGCACTTACTCTATTTTTGAGATAAACAAGCAGGCTTAAATCGTGAGGCCATTAAGATGTTTCTTAGGGAAAGAGACAAAGGGCTGAAGTGATGCTTTAGCTGGCTTTTACGGTGTTAATTCCAGTATTCTAACCTTTAAAACAGGTAAGCAGATTGCATTGGCATGGGTTCTTTGCTCTCCTATGACAAACTCCAGCTAGAACTGAACCCCGGCTTCCCTGCAGTGGGCACCTGTCCTCCCTGTGGTTACTACCATTCCCTGTTTGGTCATTGCCTTTTATTGTTGCTTCTTACAGTAGTAAGTCGTTTCTTTGAACTGACATATCCATCAAAAGTAAGAAAAATTTTAAGAACAAAACAAAATAATAAAACCATCTTTTTTTTTAAAGATTGAATTTTTGTGAGAACCAAAAATAGTCTTCAATGTTCAATCAGAAAAATGGCTGTCAAAGGAATACTACTTTAAAGACCACCATGACTGGGCCATGGTGACACACACCTTTAATCCCAGCACTCGGAAGGCAGAGGCAGATGAATCTCTAAGTTTCAGACCAGCCTAGTCTACAGAGCGAGTTCCAGGTTAGTCAGGGTTACACAGAGAAACCCTGTCTCAAAAAAAAAAGATAGATAGATGATAGATAGATGGATACATAGATACATAGGTGATATTAACTAATACTAAGACACCAGTGCCAAACCATAGAAAAGCATGATAGAAGCATGACAGATTCATGAACTGTATTTTTAAAAAAGCCTGAAAACAAGTCTTTATTTTAAATAAAAAACGGAAAACATGTAGGTAACATTGTGAAAGTCATATGTACATATAGAGCAAATAAAAGACATCAAGACATATTACACATTAGTGACAACAAAAATTACATGACAAAAATGAGCTTTTTGGAAACATACAGTTAAAAAAATAACACTGTTGTGTCCCTCAACATACTAAGATGGGATGAAACCTTACGGAAAAGTTTGTGAATGATATGATTTGTGCCATTCTCTTTGGTAATTCATTCAA